CCGAGCCACAGAGACCCTAACGAACCCCACTGTGGCAGGAGGAGCACTAACGACCCACATAACGAGGGGGAGGAGCAACAAACCTCCAACTGAAACCCAAACTCAGGTGTTAATGTCTCCTTCAGGATATCAGGATGTGGAACTCCCAACTAGTCAGTCAGAGCTGATGGAGCCTCTTGGATGGAGGTGGAACGTCTTCAACAAGCAGGTCCAGCTGATTAAAGTACGAGAATATGACAAAGCAGCTCCTCCTCACTTTGTCTTTCATGGACTTATCCGGCAGAAAAATATATATTTGGTGACGTGCAAAAGTTTCTGCTTGTAAAGTCTTGTTTAATTGTCCCGATGACAAGTGTGAAGAACCGGGTCATGACTGAATACGTTATTTAGGATGACCGATGGACTGACCCGGTGTGTTACGCTGTGATCTTCCAGGTTTAATGACGCTACAGACGGTTCTTATCACACCTATTGATATTCTACTGGACATTCTTTCATATCGAGCTGCGGCTTTTAGTCGATCAATCAACAAGTGAATCATTTATATTGTTCAGAATAATCACTGTGGCTTTTCTATGAGGCTGAACCCAACATCCTCCAGCGTTTCACAGCCAAACTGGTCTGTCCTGCCGGTAACTATCAGCACCTTCACTGTAAAGGATGACAAACGTCCCATCAACTCACCTTTAACAGTGAACCAATAGAATATGAACACATGATATCTAAAATGTGTGACTGTCATTTACAACTTGAGCCTTTTTATTTATTTATTTGCTTGAAATGCTGAGTTGAATAAATAAACATCTGAGAGTTCGTTCAGCTCATTAAGTTAACAACAAACCAGAGCCTCCGTGGAGTTAAGGTGGTGGTTTGAGGAGACAGACAAGGTGGGAACCTGCTGTGCACTGTTAAATAATAAAAGCTGATCTGGATCATTGAACTCACTGAATCCTGGAGCAGCCTCACAGTTGGTCCGGTCATGACTTCAGCAGCTGGACGGTGAGTTCTGAACGATGACGAAGAAACTCTACAAACCTAAAAAAAATCATTAAAAAACAAAACAACAGGATCGTCTGTAACGATCGTCCAGTTGATTCAACTCAATATCTGGAGTTTGTTGAACTTCTAGTCCAGCTCATTGAGCTCCAGTTAGCAGCTGCTTTCACAACAACAGGACTTTGAATTAATTCATCAAACAGTCACATTTCTAAGGCTGCGGGGGAACGTGTGCTTCTGATTGAACTGAACCTGGTCTACAGTGTTAACGTAGTCCGTCGATCACAGACCAGAACCAGTCGCCTGCAGTGGAAACGTCCCGCGGCCACATCGTGACAGGAAACAGAGAAAATGTGCAAAGTTGTGTCTGGTTTTGACTTTTGGTTAATAAATACACCGTCGCCCATAACGGTGGAATAATTCTTGTTTTCAGACACGTTCCTCTTCTTATTCCTGTTTCTACACATCAGTAACACTCTGACCCGGTCCAGTGGTCACAGACTGAGTCCCAGTTAGCAGGTGGAACCAGTTTTGACTTCAGGATGTGACTGAAGAGTGGGACGTCCTGCCCACTGACACCATCAACCAGCTGGTGGACAGAACGCCACCACGTCAGTGATCGGTGTCAGAGGCGGCCAGACTCAGTACGAGTGACGTTTAAAGAGTGATGCTGGACGTTCTTATGCATGAAATCCCCTCAAATGTTAATCCTGAATACACTGTTTGTAAAAGTGAACTGTGGTTTAACTTTTACTGTGTTGTGTGCATGTTGTGACATCGATAAAGTTTTGAGGAGATGCACACTTTATCTATCAGGAATAAATCACAATCCTTTCATTCCAGCTGTACGGCGTCAGTGTGTGAGCAGCTTCCTGTTGTTAAGGCGGCCTGATGAGCCTATTTGGAAACCTTGCAGTGAGTCTCCTCTCTAAAGGCCAAAACCTTCAGGCCTTGAAGCAGCACTCGCTGCCTCCGTCTCCCCCAACATCACCATGACCCATTTACTGAAGCCTCTTCAAAGAAAACAGTTCTGTGACAGTACCTTAGATTGTGCTGACTCGAGCCGGTGGGGTGCTTACATCAGAAGTGAGATGAAAGCAGCGTTGTTTGTCTGACCCGTTTCCATGCGACCTTGACTGGGCCTGTGGTTCCTCTTCCTCCTCTCAGGACATTAAGGGGCGCTGCTCATGCTGGCTGACCCGACAGTCCTCCCTCCTGTTTGGACCGGATGTAACTGTAGACATAGTTTCCCTGAGGTACCCTACCAAAGGGATCAATAAAGTTTTATCTTATCTTATTCAATAAACTGCAACTAACAATCCACCAACACAGGTTCACGTAGCCACAGAAGGAAGGAGCTGCAGCCTGAATGTGCTCCGGCCTCTGGAACAGGAGGCGCTGATCAGGGACCGGAGCGGACTCTTAAATGTAGCTGAGAAACAGCACCCGAGGCTGTTTTTTAACCTACTCTTCCAAGTTCACATTCTCTGCTTCATTTTTCTCTCTAATGAATCCCTGAAGAACGGTGCACTCCTGACAATGTCAACACATTTGTATGGAAAGCCATGGGTGTAATTATTCTTGTGTTTTGTTTTCTCAGACACTTGAAGTAATTACTTTGAAATCCTGACAGTTCGTGATCGTTAAATTATAAAACAGGGAGAAGAAAATCATCGTTGTCCTGAGCATCTGACACGCTCTTAAACTCTACGACACACGGTTGTTCTACAGCGTTCATTTAACCGGAGAACGTGAAGAGCTGTGATGGAACTACTTCAGTCTTCTCACGCATTCATAGCCGTGATAATCACAAAAGGTTTCAGCCACTGAGGTGAAATGAGATGTGATGGTCTGAGATCAGAATCTTGATGATTAAAATTAAAAACAGGTTTTCTTTGCCAATGTGAGGATTTGGAGCTTTTCTCTGTCAGAAATCATTGTAAATATATTTTGAGATTTTGGAGCCCTGATGAAAACGTTCATTCTTTTCTGTTGTGGTTTAACAAAATGCACCAAATGTGAGCCACGGATGGACGGCGTGACGTTACTCTGACTGTAAAGGCTGAAGACAAACCTGCTACAGGTCCAACATCTATCTTCTACTTTGTGCTCGTTTGTCAGTGAGATCTTAAATTTGTTGGGCTGCAGGTGGATCAGTGGTTATCATCGGTTATCATCGTGGCCTCACAGCTAGAAGGTCGCGGGTTGGCGTCCCGGTGAGGACACCCGGGATCTTTCTGCGTGGAGTCTCCATGTTCTCCCCGTGCAGCGTGGGTTCTCTCCGGGTTCTCCGGCTTCCTCCCACAGTCCAGAAACATGCTGAGGTTAATTGGTGATTGTAAATTGTCCGTAGGTGTGAATGTGAGTGTGCTTGGTTGTCTGTCTCTAAGTGTAGCCCTGTGATAGACTGGTTACCTGTCCAGGTGAACCTGCCTTCACCCTGAGTCAGCTGGGATAGGCTCCGCCCCCCATGATCCTGGTGAGGATTAAGGTGTAGAGATGATGGACGGATTAAGTTTGTTTCCTTTAGATGCGACCCACGGACTGCTGAGGTCGTCCTTCCTCTTCCTCTCTCACACGGATCACTAAGCAAATCAAACAGCACCCAGAAAGCAGACAGGAGACCAGCAGCGCTCTCAGACCGAGGCCAGCACCCCGTCTGACTCTTAAACGTCCAAAATCGTTTTCGTTTTTAGCAAATTAATCAAAGTCTCTCAATTTTCCAGTGTGTCTTTTTTGTTTTTGTTCATTTCCACCAGCTAGAGCCGTCAGCCTCAGCGTGGGCCGGACGCTTAGTTTTGGGTTGTCGGTGTGAAGTTTGGGCATCACCTGAGGCAAGTTCTTCCTCGCTGGTAAAGCCTACGTCTGACTACCGTAATGTCTGGACTATAAGCGGTTTCTTTTTTCACACTCTTTGAACGCTGCGGCTTAAACAACGATGAGGCTAATTTATGGATTTTTACGAATTTACCTGGAGACCAAAGTGAGGCTGAGAGCGACGACGACAGAGAGACTGAGGAAGTGATGAAGTGATTCTGAGGCTGTTCAGCTCCTGAAGACTCTGAAGAAGACGACTTTAGTGGTTTTAGTGCAGGAGGAAGATGAAGATAGCCATCAGTGACTTTTCCTGGTAGCTGCTGGAGTTTTATTTCCTTAACCAGCCGTGTTACAGGAAGTGTTCAGAAAAAAGCATCTACGGTACGGATTTAATTAAAAGTTAAAACATCTTTCTGTGTAAATATCTCATGTTCCAACGTGGACACCTGCAGCTTAGAGACCAGTGCAGCCTGTAGATGTACACACCTGGTTTTCTGTTTAAACTTAGTGAGTGGGTCTTACATCCAGGTGCCTCAATAGTCCAGACATTACGGTAGTTGTAGGCGGGCTGGAGGAATGGCAGGCGTAAACATCTTCATATGTTAACAACTCTCATTTCACACGTTCAAGTTTCTAATACCTGCCAAAGCACAATAAAATGAATTTTCCTCGTCTGGGTCCATGTGTTGCGCCCGTTCTCCACCTTTCCACCCAGTTTCTTGACATTCATCCTGGTAGTTTTTCTGTAACGTTGCTGACAGACAGACAGCAGCTGTGCACCTCGGTGGAGGAATAATCCAATCAGAACAACGCATGAAGTTTGCTCCGCTGTCCATTTTTTATTTGACTTTGCTGTCTGCATGTTTCTGCAGGTTGGGAGTTGAGCCATGAGACACAACAGAAGCAGCAGCATTCCTCCTGTTTCCACCTCATGCAGCGGAGAACTGGAGTTACTCCAGAAATCATTTCTTGATTAACTTTCCACGAGCCATGTTGTACAGACTCTGCAGAGAAGAAAACCGCATTACCTCGGTCTCAACACGTGCTGCCTTCACTACTCGGGAGCCAATCGAGTACATTCTGATAAGAAAACCCAGTAATCTTATCACCGAGTTCATCTCAGTGAATCTCTTTGTTAGTCAGCGTTCGTAGCCTCATCGACCCACAAACTCCACGGCACACAGGAACACCGTCGATAAGCATCTTTATTGGGATGCACACAATGTTTCACAGGTAGGACTTAAATAGTTGCAGTTTTGTACATTATCACAGACACAAACTTTAATCAGCGCACATCACTGAGCCGAGAAGCTACGACACGAAGCACGACAGTCAAATCAAGTCACATCGGGGGTGGTTTGGGGTGAGGGTGGAGGAGGGAAACCACGCCGTTGGTGTTTCAAGTCATTACACAAAGTGAAGGTCTGATTCATAAAAGGTACGCACAGTTCACACTCATCCACACGACGACACACCGACACTCGTGATGGGACGGGTTCAGCTCCGGGCCGCCACCGCCGGAGCCTGCTGCTGGTCGCTGGACTGCAGCTGTCTGCCCAGGTACTCCCTGTAACGACAAACACAACCTTCACATCAACAAGGGCTTCCACATGAAACAGAAACATACTCGGTTGTTTTCTTGGCGAGAACTGGGTGAGAAAATCAAATGTCTCGTGTGTGTATGACCGACACGACCTACAGCCAGGAAATAGTTAGCCTAGCCTAGCTTAGCTTAGCTTAGCTTAGCTTAGCTTAGAGGCTAAAAACAGGAGTTAAACGGTGACAGGCAATAAAACCCATCCACCATGAAAGCTTACTGGTCCATGTGCTAGACTGCTATTTTAATTATGTACAAAACTGCTTAAACTCCTCTTTGTTTTAAACTTCCATGTTAAGCTTTGTTTTTTATTTTCTGCTTTAGCCTTTCTCACATGTGCCTCTACGCTGATGCTTCCTGCAGAACGTGCAGACCTATGAAATTCCTCTCCTCCCGCTCACAGCAGCTCGAGCACACCAGCTCACCTACGACTGCCTGAACGCTGTCGGTCTACTCGACCCTCTACAGGTTTCTAATATCGGAGCAATTCAGCCAAACATGCTCGAACCAGACCAGAAGAAGACCAAAGGTACAGACAGCTCCGGTTGATTGGTTCCTTAGTCTTGTGACATATGAAACCCTGCGGGTGGTAATCCGGGTTTGGTCTTGTTCTGGTCCAAGTCATGACAGTAAATTTCATCTTTAACTAAAGTCTTTGTGAACCAACTTCATAAAACTGGAGGACAGAGTGAATGAAGCCTGCCATGTTATTCCACATCTTCCTTGTTTTATTCCCCCAAAGAGTCAAAGACATACACATGGGGACCACGCTGGAGGAAAACCCTGAACAGACTCTGGGGGTCTTGGTTGTGCATTTTGCCCACTTGGTTCGGCTCCATTCGTCCCCACAGATGACAAAGATCACTGCAGATCAATATACAGTTGCTCTGACTGATCACGTTTATCCAATAACGGAACATCTTCCCTGATGACGTACACCCACGAGAAGTCGCTGATTGGTTGGATGAAAACCAGTCATATGCTCATGATTTCACAGTCACCAGATTTCAAGCTGATTGGACCAACAGGTTAGACGACACTCTCCAGCACTGGTCTCGAAGAGACAAATGAGGGAACATGTTTACTGTCATCACTGCAGTAGAGCAGACAGACGAGGAGAAGCACTGATGCGGTTCTGGTGGTGAACATCTCACTGATGTCCTTCATGCTGCTTCATACCGCCAGGTGGGAATTCGTCTCGCTGAATTTCCCCAAGAAGCTGGCATCAGGGAAGGTTTGGTATTTTCTAACTGTTTACAAAAACATGATGGAAATGATTCATTGATTACCAAAATACTTCTAAATGAATTTCCCGCCAGGTGACTAATCAGCTAATTGTTGCACTGATTCAGCTCCGGGTCAGACGAGTCGCTGCACTCTGTCTTTTTTTAGATGAAGTAAAATGCATATGATGTGTGGTTAGTGAGCTTTAGAGGTACTAAAAGGTGTTTCATAACGTCCAACTACTCCTCTGATTAAATGTATTCCTGTTTCAAGCTGGCTGGGCTGAACGAGCCTTTGTTATCCTTCATGATGAAACCGGGCTTTGACAGGACCTCTCATTCCAGGCTTCTGCCAGTTACGCCGACCCAGACATGACGCGGCGCTGAAATATAGCGACATTACTCTGAAAGGTCAGCGTTCCCTTCAGGTTTTTTACTTGGCAGTAACATTTTCAGATGTGCCATCACGGCACTCACCTTCCTGGTACCGGGAAAATAAAATACCTCTCAGAAACCTAAAAATGGAAAAGGCCAGCAAATGCTTTGGTGGGAGAGCGTCAGTGTATATGCATCTATACAGAGCAGCAGGGCTCTTATGAAACCATTTCCTACTCATGCTCTCACATTATGGCATTTTCCTTTAACATCCTGACGAGCAGCAGTGAGCTCCCACAGCAGCTCTCTGTCCGTTTTCATGCCTCTTCTTTACATGTAAAGCCTCCACGCCTGCACTTAAATGTCGTGGTTAAATACCAACCCCACCTTAATGAACAGGCTGCGTCTGGGAAAGGTCTGCGCCTGTTCTGGGAAATTTCACTAATTAACACTCAATTCGTTAAAAAAAGTTTCCAGTGAAGATTCTGCAGCACGTCTGTCTGAAGCATCATCCTCTGTGTCTGTTATTTTTAACTCTGTGATGTAGTTTGTCGGGTAGACAGCACTCAGGTGTGCTGCCAGTGTTCACAAAGGCAACAACAGGGACGACGAGCTACGAGGGGCTCTGCAGCAAAAGCCTTTCTGCTTCACATCTCTGCTACATGAGCTGATACCTACACGGCAAAATCCCTCCCAGAAGATCAGCGGCGCTACGATGAGCCGCACTTAAATCAGAGGCCCGATCAGGAACGACGCCGTGTGAAAAGACAACCTGAAGCAGAGTTTGCTGTGCGTACTGTGAGGATGTTTTGAATGAACACCCTTCATGGTCTGCTGGCAGCGCCGTTCCGTTTAAACTCAGTGAAGGTGGATGCTCGACCACCTCAGAATCTGTTGAAACTTTTCAGGAATGATCTGACACTGACATTAGGTATAAGGTTGTTTTTTTTTCCCAGACGATGAGGATTTTTTACCTTGATGTGTTTCCACTGTCACTTCAACAGCTCCTATCCAAACAACACTCACCTGACAAAAACAGAAACCTTATCCCTAAGATCAGAGGAGACATAAAGAACCTAATCACGCTGAAACTCACATCGGACATTTTTTAGCTGAAAATCCAACATTTTCATCATTTTTCATCCGATGGAAATTTTCAGTTAATCTCTCACGAGTTGGAAATGAAACGAGATGCTGCTTTCAGACGTCCACATCTCCTGAAGTTCACGTCCTGGAGTCTTCATGTGTCATGACCCACACACACGTTGATCACGTTGATGAATAAAGTAATTACTGTGAGTGTAACGATTTTTTAGTGAGTCATCTTGTTCATGGGCTGCAGGTGGGTCAGTGGTTAGCACCGTTGCCTCACAGCTAGAAGGTCGGTGGTTGGCGTCCCGGTGAGGACACCCGGGATCTTTCTGCGTGGAGTCTCCATGTTCTCCCCGTGCAGCGTGGGTTCTCTCCGGGTTCTCCGGCTTCCTCCCACAGTCCAGAAACATGCTGAGGTTAATTGGTGATTGTAAATTGTCCGTAGGTGTGAATGTGAGTGTGCTTGGTTGTCTGTCTCTAAGTGTAGCCCTGTGATAGACTGGTTACCTGTCCAGGTGAACCTGCCTTCACCCTGAGTCAGCTGGGATAGGCTCCGCCCCCCATGACCCTAGTGAGGATTAAGGTGTAGAGATGATGGATGGATCTTGTTCATACTCCAACAACGAATGGATGCATATGAAGGGCCAGGAGCAGAATGAGTTTAACATGAAGACATCGTGGAAGGATGTTGAAACACCACCAGATGATCCTTCCATCTCTTACTGTCCTAAACTCCATTAGCCTACCCAGGATTCAAGACGTCCATCTGGCTGTCTGGGAATTAACTACTTTTTTTTTTTTTTTTACCCGTGTCACCTCTGATTGGCCATAACTCCCATTTCTACCAACATATGGAAGCTTTCTAAGCATTAATGATGTCACTCAGGTGTTATTCTCACAATAAAACAGATCTTATGTACTACAGATACATTTTTCCTCATTTAAAAAAAAAAAAATCCACTTTATTTTCATTTTTTTTAACAAATCCTGAATTTGAGAGTTCTTCAGCTGCTTTCTCTCCGTTCACCAGAAACTTCTGAACTTCTCCTGAACATGTGGAGGCTCCAGGACGTACGCTTCAGGACACATGGACGTCTGAAAGCTGCTCAACTTCCACCTCAGGAGAGATTTATTGTACATTTCCATTGGTCGGAAAATGCTGAAAATGTTGGAACTTCGGCTAAAAAAAATGTGAGATGTGAGTTTCAGACGACAAAGATGGTTCCTAGAAAGTTCCAACAGATTCTTAGACGGTAAAACGACCACCTTGGATGCAGTGACAATTATTCAGTCATCACTGATTCCATCAGTGTGAAGACTTCCAGGTTTTCTATCTTTGGTTTATAAATTCTCATCAAGTGCAACGAGCTTCATGCTTTTTTATTTCTGGCAAACTGTCCTGGAAATCAGTTGCATTTTCCAGCCTGGGCTCAAAGGAGGAATATTCGATGCCTTGAATGTCTAACCAAGGTCGGCCGACATGTTCCTTCATTTCCTTCGCTCGCTGCCTCGGGCTGTTTAAAACCCCCTCTGGTGGAAATCTGCTTTTTTTTTTTACCTTTAACCTCCAGTAGAATCAGTTTCCAGTCTGAACACGTACGACTGAATTATTCCAACACGACAACTCGCTGCTGTGTAGTGCAGAGCGGCTTCACAGTCGAGGGTGAGCTGGTGTGCTCGAGCTGGGGATTCACGTTGCAGAGGAAGCAACGGTGTAGAGTTATAGCTGGTCCGCTTTAGGGCAGGAAAAGATGATTTTAATGGAAAAAATCCACATGTGTACCGCTGATACACAGAGATGAGTTTGTAGAGAGTAAACTATGGACTTGAGTGTAGATCTGGATGTTTGCTGGTCATAAAAGTGAAGCTACTGTATGAATTACGGTCCAGTAACGTCTGACAGAAGCCTTTGCTTCAGTGTAAATACTGAGAAACCTCCAGAAGCAGCAGAGCCCGTCAGCAGCGGAGGAGTTTAAACATCCTGATTGGGAAGCATCATATTCTTTTATAACTTCTCAGAGATCCGGAAATGTGTTAAGAAACGCAGACTAAAGGGCTTGAAAAGCGACACCACCTCGCACACATCCACCTATGCCGTTGCCATGACAGCAGGGGCGTCACGCGTGCGGGCAGGAACGTCCTCTCACGGAAACAACAAACCCACTCAAGGTGACAGCGACTGAGGCGAGGCGCTTTGAAAACCTCTTCACTTTGTGGGTGAAAGAGAGCTCAGCATTGAGAAAGAAAGAAAAAAAGCTCAGAAATGTGCTCACTCAACAGAAGCATTCACATGTTTCTGTCTTCATGAAGCCAGCGAGTGGAGGCAGCAGATGATTCAACGAAACAACCTTGAGATATAATCCCCCCCTCGCATAAGTAAAAAACACGAGTAGAAAAGCGGCCGGCTTCTAACACACAAACCCGACCGAGATGCTTCCCTGTTGTCCGTTTCATTACACTTTGCCTACAAAAGCAAAACAATGGTCTGTTTCTTGCAGAGAGAGAGATTTGTATGCAGCTTGTCCACATGCATTCTTTATATACACCTCCTAGAAAGTCATGGAAGTGACCCCCCATGTGTCCTCTCTCCTCCACGATGTGTCTGTGAGATGTTGCTACAGATGGAAAATAGATTTACCTCCCAGTGGGAAACACACACACACATATATACACACTGCTTTCTCCGGAAGCTTTTCTTTCTTCTCGGTTACCAAAAACAAGACTGAAAATCTTTTGTGCTGCTGCTGTGAATAAATGAATTCCTGTCGGCGCTGCAGCGGCCGCATAGTTCAGCACATCTTAGACGTTAAAGCCGCGCTGCATTGTGACACACAATCAGCACCAACACAATACCTCCACCCACGAGTGTTTTAGATAGCGGCGGCAAAACAAGCACATTTCCACTTGTTGCTCGTTCTGATGGGTTTTTTTCCCCGAGCAATTAGGTAGAAAGAAGAAGGCTGATGGGCAAGATGAGTGTGTGGAAGAAGAGAAGCTAAAAGGAAGCGGTCAGATGATGGAGAATTAAAGAGAATCTGATGCATTTGACTGCTGAAGATAAAGCCGGCAGAGCTCCCCGATGGACAGACGTGTGCACCTGAGCTAAACTATCGCACACATTATCTTTAGCTTCTCAGCTGACATTTACCTCAACACCACGGTGTCGACAACAGTCTTCTGAACCAGAAAGCAATCATGGCACGAATAAGAGAATTTTAAGATATTCTGTAAGCGTGAAATGCAGAAAAAAAGATAAAAGAGATTTTTTTAAAAATACTCCGTCGGCAACATAAATTACAGGTGGGGAAAGTTTGTGAAATGAGATCTCCATGTTCTGTGGTGCTCCATCCTCACGTTGCCATAACAATGATGATAATAACGTACAGATGTTGGCCAAGGACGGTTTGAGAGAGGAGTGAAAGAAACCGTCGAACTGGAAAGACCAGCAGAGGTGAAGGTCTGAGGCATCACCTCTCACCTGTTCACAGTTCAGTCCTAAGATCTCTCCCCAGGAAGATGAACCCACATCCACACCGAGCCACAGAGACCCTAACGAACCCCACTGTGTCAGAGGGAGCACTAACGACTCGCATAACGAGGGGGAGGAGCTACAAACCTCCAATTGAAACCCAAACTCAGTGTTAACGTCTCCTTCAGGATATCAGGATGTGGAACTCCCAACTAGTCAGTCAGAGCTGATGAAGCCTCCTGGATGAAGGTGGAACGTCTTCAAGGAACTCAACTACGAGAACAACCATGACCTGGAGGACTGAGAATCTTCACAGACACAACATTTTAACCCCACAAAGGCAGAATCTCCACAGATCCCCTCCTGACATAATTTAAAACTGATGAAAACTCTCATTTCATGTCTAATATCTTTTTCCACTCTCATTTAATTATTTCTGCCATCTTCCTCTTCTCTGGTGTCAAATCTATGAATAGGAAAATGTTTTCAATTTCAAAAGCTAAACGCTTCACCGGAGATTAGATTTTCGGTGTAGGAGCGGTGAAGGCTTCGAGCTTCCTGATGACGTTTGTGTAAGTTGATTAATGGTTTTCCCAGAGGACCACGCCGGGCATCCAGACCAGTTGTGATACGATCAGATCATAAGTGTAGGCGTTGGTGAGCAAAGCTGCCTTCATTAGTGAACGATGGCACGAATCATAACGGCCTCAAAAGCTCAACACGCTCACCAGCCCTTTATCCTCACATGACCAGGTGAAGTTTATGTTTGGACCTTGCAGACCTTGAAGCATCCGAGGTCCCTCACGCTATTTCAGCGGATGTGGAGGCACTGACTGACATGTCTGTGATGATCCTTTGCTGCACCTGTCCGTTCACCTTCAACCCACCTGGATGTCTAATAAACCTAACCAAACGAAAAACGTGTACGAGGGCTGGATCATTTCTATCCATGTCGCTGGTGCCATGGCCGCCTGGCTCAGTGGAGATTCTCAGGGCTCGTCCATGTGAACGGTTCACATCCAAACCACAACAGAGCTGTGAAGGTGTTCTTACCAGTTGTGGACCATCAGCTTCTGCACAGCCAGCAGGGCGTTGTACCGGACGAGCTGGTCTTCGTGGTGCATGTGATTCATCACCAGCTGTTTTCCACCCAGCTGCTCGATCACCCTGACACGGGAGGAGTACAAGACACAATGACAGACGGCCTTTTTTTTCAAACAAAAAAACACAAATTATCCTCACGCTTTAGGCCATTCACTGACGCAGCAGGTCATCTGATCCAGAACAGACCTGCACGATGACGTCCAACCAGAGGAGACACAGGGAGACTCTGCTAACTGATCCTCTACTAATGCCAATAAAGACTTATGTGGGAGACAAGTGGTAAAAACTGCCATGACTGCTCTGGAAGTCACACAGTTTAGAAGAAAAACTAACATCAGGGAAACTAAACAACAAGATGACAGTGATCAATCAGGGCTGCACCTATCCATCACTTTAACTAACTAGTTATTCTAATCGAGTAATCGGTTAAAAAATATAAAAACGTCATTAAGCTACTTTATCATAATTTAATAGTAACACGTGGTTTTCTCAGCGGGTTAATTTGCTCTCCCTGCCGCTGATAGTTTTTCATCTCCGTCTGTCTCCGTCTTCATCGTGCACGTTGCAGCATCAGAAGCAGAAGTGAGCTGCACCAGGAGTAACCGTCTGAGCAGAACACGGGCCGACATCCTCGAGTACAGCGACTTAAACGAAGCCTGGAGGCAGATCAGCAACTGAAATACCCGAGGAATCGTTTCAGCCCTAATGTCCACATCATTCGCCCGTATATGAATAACATGCTGTTTACTGAATGAGAGAGGAAGTCTATTAAATTCATCTTTCAAATAATTCTGATGGCAGTTTTTTTTTTTTTCTACAAAAATGAAAACGGGTGCAAACTGGTGCAGACCTCGTGTCGCTCTTCAACCACAATGTGTCACAGAGCAAATCAGCTTGGATTGAATCGATGCTACCGATCCACACATGCTGTCGTGCACTGAGCAGCACCATGTGGACATCTGGGCTTTTCAAATGCTTTCAGTGTGCTGCGTTTCCCATGAAGTGTAACCACCACCAACATCGCACACAGAGTAAACTTATCTACGTCTTTAATGAACAATCGATGCTCGGATATGAGGCGTCCAGCTTTCTCTGTGTCTCCTCATGGACAGCAGTGCCATCCTATTATAATTATTAATCATACTTATTCCAGGTGAGCGTTCCCAGTTACATGCATAGGTAGACGTGGTTACTTGAGGTGGCAGAGTGCATTGCTGTTTAGCAAAATGTCTTCTCTCCAGGGTTGCAACGAGCAATCAACAATGAATTGTGCAGTTAGTAAATTTCACCTTTTAATGCATCTTGAAGTTCTTTTAGGGTTGTGCTAACGAGTCGAGCAAGACTCTGGGGTGCCAATGAAATCAAAATGTGAGGGACTCCTCGTACTTCTGCATCCCAGGTGACTAGAGGAGCTGTCGTCTCAACTGTCGCTGGAATGGAAAACGCTCTTCTAAGATGCAGTTTCACATGAAGTTGCTTTTGTAATGTTGAATACAATCTTTTTTCTTTAACGTGTCCTATTGCAAACGGTCTTCCTGTGTTTGCTGATCGTCTTTGTGACGACAGTAAAGATGCTGGTTGTGTACTTTTCTCGTACATGCCTTTATGTGGACTGTTGCTACTCTGCAGTCTCTGACAGCTTCATTGTGTTATGCTGTGAAGATGTTCAACGTGTTGTTCAAAGTGAAAAACAAGACAGAGCCATCACTGGCAGAAGCTACGGTTATTGTTGTTGAGATGTCGAGATTGAACTTGGTCTGAATGTCCAAACACGAGCTGCTACAGTTTTCCTAGAACCACATCAGACAGTCACACACTTTCCTCCAGACAGTGCACAAACACATGCGATTACATTCCCCAACTGGTCAGCAATAGTTGGCAACTAATCAACTTTATTGATTTTTAAAATGCTGATTGCTCGTTGCACCCTGACTTTGGACCCTGTGGTTACACACTGAGAAGTTTATATTTTCAAACGCATGACTTTCCCTCCGTTCACAGCCCTCTGATCTTTCTGACCAGACTTTTAGAAATGCTGCTGTAGTCTAACAGCTCTGGGTTGTGTTTAGTCTTGGTCAGGCAGGGAGACTGCTGGAAACTATGGCGACCACGTTCGCCATCTGATTGGGTTTCAGTTGTCTCTATGTGGTCCAGAAGCAAACAAAAACTGGACGAGCAGAGGATAATCATCGATGACAGATTTTAGGAGCTGCTGACCTAAAATATGTCGTCCTCCTCTTCTGCTTCATGCTTCCTGTTTACAGCTGCATGCTCCGTATGTCAACGATCACGTGACACGCGTGGAGAGTATTTCAAAGACGGTGCTAAAATACTCATCCAACGATTGTTTCGGTAATAAAACGCCCTTTAAAACGCCTTCGGTTTGATGTGAATTGGATTTCAAAGACGAGGCCTCACCGTTTACCACGCGGGTAGTGTCGTACGTACTCCCCGATGTCGTGAGCCGCCACGGCTATGACCTGAGGATCGTCGGACACTTCCAGCAGCCTCGTCAAAATCCTGTTGGCAGACAAAAGGAGACGCATTCAAACGGGGAGGTGTGTCTGCAAAAGATTTCATCAGAACTTCATCTGTCTGATCTGAATCATATATTTCTCTGATGCTTGGAGGCAAACACTTTTCTGAGAAAGCTTTAAAAAAAAAAAGATCAGTGGAGATTATTTTCACTGAAACAGGAAGTAGAAATGCCCATAACCCTTATAAACTGGTTAAGAACTCCCTCATAGTGTCTACACCTGATTTTAAACTACAGATCTATTTAGCATGTCCAAACAGCCGATGTCACATTAACAAATGTAAATAAAGAATAAACACGGCCTGCACAGTTTCATGATTCCCTAAAGCATCATTTTTCTTGATCTAAATCTTAATGAGTCAAACTGGACCTGAAACAGCCTCAGTGTAAACAACCTGTTTGGGATTTTTGTTTGTTCAGGCTCACTTTAGGAAATGTCACCAAAGTTCAGGCTAAAAGATGTTCAGAGCACTTTTATGGCTGTCAAATGTCAAAACGGGTCAAAACTGTCCCGAAACAGTACGAGTACGGGTCAAGCTGGCTGAGATTTATGTTCGTGACCCCAAACTGTAACGTCTAAATGCTAAAGAACACAAGACATGAGGTGCACTCTAAAAACCTTCACAGCGAGATTTGGGGAAATGAGAGTAACAAATAATAAAATAAAAAAGAGGTTAATTTAGGCTGAGATGATGCCTGAGCTGATTACAGAGAGAGGACAGTGATGGTGAGACAATGAGATGGGCAGATCCAGATCTACACTCAATGTCAACACTGTGTGTGACCAGAATGACAAAGAACAAACTGCTGTTTTATCTCCACGGATCCAAGTCCTCACATCGGAAACCAACACACAAACCCGTCAGACACGACGCTGCCGAGTGCGTCTCACAGAACAGGCGGACAGTCAAGTCAAGTATTTTTCCAGCACAGCGAGGTGAAGTACCTCGATGGAGAGACGCAGCTCTGTTCAGCTCACTGTGTTTCTGTTTGTGTCACTCCTCTCTACAATATTTACAACTACTACAGACGTCGGATCCATTTTAAATCTGGAGCTTAGCACAACCGCTGCAGCTTGAAAACTCCATCTGCTAGGATTCACCCTAAAAGCAGTGTTTAGTGTAAAAAGGTTCAGTTTCACTCTGATTCAGCTGGAAGTGGTCAACAAACAGGAAAAAAAAACAGATGATACTCCGAGTACGAATGGGAACACAGGAGTGAAACCAAACTCTTAATCACAGAGCTTCAGGTGAAAGACACAAAAGCACTGAAAGCAGAACAACAACAGAACATTCTCTTTACTCTCCAGCACAGAAACACGTCCAGAAAACAACCTATTGTGACCTGAGCCAAGGTTTCAAACTTTCACATGCAAAGATTTTTCTGCCAGCAAAAAAGAAATGATCAGTTTGAGACTCTATCAAACCTCCCAAAGCCTCAGTTTGGATGCAAATTAGAGAAAACAACTTAAAAAACCTTCTACAATGAATGATTTAACTCTGTTTCCTCTCGTGGCTATATTACTGTCTGCACATTTGGCTCATCCAGTAGCAGCACTGTTCTTTTGCTCTGACTGAAGGGTCTCGCTGACGATAAATCATTAGTCTTTATGTGTTTTCTTACTTGAGGAGCTCGTAGTTCTTCTCATTCAGGCGGACGGCGTTCTCGCGCCAGAACTTCTCTGACTTGTGCACAGGACTCCATTCCAGGCGACCGGACTTCAGCTCGGAGCTGTACTCGTCAAACGAGCTGTGGGTTAAAAACACGCAGACACAACACAAATAAGACAGACAAACAACTGTCTTTTTTACCCACAGCAGCAAAAAAAAGCCTCTTTCTGTGAACCCATGTGATGTGAAAGCAGTGATTTGAGAGGTGCAGGGGAACACATCTGTAGCACAGAGAACAAACAGAGGCGTCACATATTCACATTTCACAGCCTGTTCCTACAGATGGACCAGAATAATGTACAGCACTAAAACGTCCTTAAACATACGAGGCATTCATTTCTAATTGCAGATGATTCCATCCTCTACAACATCTGCACTCTGCAGCGCGATCACAGAATGACTGGTTGAGTGAACCGCCGGCCAACGCCTGTTGTACATGTACAGAGAGAAACGGAGCTCCGTGGGTACCTGAGATCCTGCACACTCTCTCCCAGCCTCTCCAGCAGGAACTTAATGTCCTCAGTGATGTCCTCATCGTCGTACTTCTGCTGCTCAAGGTTCTCGAGCTGCTTCAGCACCTTGCACTGAATCATGGCCAAGGCGTACTCCTGGCGAGTCTCCCTCTCTGCCGACTTCTCAAGAAGATTCTGCAAAAGAAGCACAACAGCGTTAGAAAGAGATGCTGCATGTGAAGCTAGATATTTGTGAAAGAATACGATATGAATGCATGATCAGATGAGTGAATGAAAAAATCCCCTTAAGCAACAGAAAGTGTAGAACAGAATGATTCAGGCCAATAAAGTCAGACAGCTGGTCGTGAAGATGTTTTTGTTATGCATATATTAAATATCTTTGGGGTTGTGTTTTTGACTGAGCATTGGTGTTTTGTTGACTGAAAATAAGAAACAGTGCGATATATTATTCATACTGTGTTGACTCTGTTTCAGTCCACTGAGGCGACACAGAGATCAATAAGCAGGGCTGCTCTACGGCGTTACTTATCAATAATACGACTTTATGTGATTACTTTGTCAGGTACTGCTAAAAACCGCTGTCTGGTTATTTTATTCACAGGTGCTTTGGGACACAACATATCATCTAAAAAATCTAATATAACGCTTCAAATATTATCCACTTCTGATATTAAAAACGATTAAAAATTTAAACTTCTTTCTTGCAGAAGCTCCTCTTGAGGCAAAACCTCGAAGCAAAGCTCCAGAAACACAGTCTCAGGCTACAGTGGAGATAAAAGTTTTGGTGGCAAAATTCATTATGACTCAAAGAAAACTGGCTTCAACAGTTCGGCTGAGTTACACCAAAACCTTTCATATTCCAAAGGCCCCTTAAAGCCACCTCAGAGAGCTCAACACCTGACGGATCCTACGACCAAGACGACGACCTGCAACGCTTTCACAACACGTCACAGAGGCCAAACAGGCAGAGAAGATTTTTGATTGAGCAGAAATGTAACTTTCAGTACCAGAGTCGGGTCAGGACGAACCCATCGCTAACACGACAGCACTGCCTTTGAGAACGTGCTCAAGGACTTCCAGATGGTCCGGATAATTCCAGTCACTCAGCGAGTCCCATGTGGCGAGCACAGTCATTTGCATAATTAGGACATTTGGGAAAACGGCAGCATGCAGAATTGATGTGGCATATTTTTGTAAAAGTATTTCGTGAAAAGAGAATTTCGACAACGTGTAATAATCCCAGCTTCCCCCAAATCTGCAGTGACACACCAGCGGGAGCCCTTGGGCCTCAACAGAACCACTGAGGAACAATGTTTTCTAACCATCCTTACTCCAAACACAAGCACTGTGAGGGAAGCTGGACGCCTCTCGGGAAAACCTGTCCAACGTCAAGAGGTTTCAGGGTCTCCCTTCGCTGCATGCCATCGCATTTAATTAGCCGTAATAAAGCAGACGAAGTGAGCTGCAGACTTGTCGGACCAATTAATAGACAGAGCCCATTCTTTCATGGCTGCATTCACACAGGCTTGATGTGGCAGCTCACAGAGATGTGACGAAGGAGCTCTGAGGGAAATTAAAACCAGGAACATGAACACAACCTAACACAGGACAGCATGTCCCCAAAAAATTGGTCTTGAATGAATTTCTTTCAGAGAAAAAGGACACTGCAAAGGTACAGCAGTCCGTCACGGACGTAGTACACGGCTTCAGGTCACCATGACAGCAATGAAATAGTGCTGGAAACGGGCTGAGAGAGGCACAAGAAACCGGGTTTGGAAATCAGCTCGCTCATGTTTCAGTCATGTAATCAATGGCACTCATCGCACCATTGTCCTCCGAGCGAGGTCAGCTGATGCCGTCTGGTGTTGCCGGGTTGGACGAAGCCAGCCCGGCACCGAAGCCTGTCACCGAAAGATCCACACGTCCTCAAGAAGATGACTTGTTGACTTGACACTCATTCTCTGGGTAGCAATGTATGGCATGATTGTTGAGTGAACAAGTGCTTCCTGTTACATCAGAGGATGTAAAATGACTGTAATGACTTCTACACTCTTGTGAAGACCTGGAAGGTATCACAGAGATGTTTTGTGCATTTCTGAGCTGTTCTGGACTTGCATTGCTGAACCGAGGTTAAAAATGCACCTTAGCTAAACGGGGCCTTTTCCATTAATGGTGCACGCTATGGAGACTGCAATTAGAATATTAGAGTCAGTTATTCTGTTGTTGTCACCACTCGCTGCTTGTTTCTTACATGGCAGCTGCACATCAGAGCTCTGAAACGTTAAACTTCAAACACTGACAGAACTCAGGTGTGACGCGGCGCCATAATGAAGGTTCTGGTCACAAATCAAAATGAAATTCAAGCTACTGACTGAATATTGTCTCTGTGATAAATACCAACAAACCAGTACATTTTCTGACCTGTGTTCTATCAGTAAAGTAAAACGGGCCGGCAGCGGATCAGAAACAAGCATAAACCACGTATCTCATGTCGACATGTATCACTGCATCACAAAGTGAATCTGTTTTCAGTCCGCATATATCCTGTATTCACTCCAGAATCTGCATTGCTCAGAGGGATAATCATCAGGAAGAGAAGAATAAAGGGTGGAGCTTCTTAGATTTAACAGAACGCCCTCCAGAGCAGGTTAGCTGGGCAGCACCAGTTGCCATGGTGATCCATAAAGTTCTAAGAAAGTCACAGCAAACTCTGGCTGTTGGCTCAATAAGCCTCCTACACACTGTCGCTTTTAAAGTGTTAATTATAGCCTCTTTACGTATCGATAAACCTACGCTTTGCCAAAAACAGAGGACAAAAGACCACAAACAACAGCTCAGTGGGTGAGCTCAAACGTCTTGAAATCAAACGCAGCGACGCAGAGAGACATGAAACCAACGAGAAATTTTCCACTGACCCTGAAGGCGGCCAGAATAATTCGAGTGACCTTCTCCTTGACAGACTCCTGCAGGATGTCGGACAGGGCCGGCACTACGTTGTTGCGTCTCAACTGTTCACAGAGCTGAGGACTGAAGGCCAGAAGCCATACGCAGAAGATCATCTGGTACTGGAGCTGGAAGCCACACTTGTTGCTCAGCACCGCCGTGATGCTGAAACAAGAAAATATACACACACACAGAGCTTAACACATGTATTAGACCAACAGCCAGTGTCAGGTTTATGCCACAGCTGCCCTAAATTAATCATCTCTTATGTCTCTGTAATGGTTCATACACCAGCATGTAGAAGCTCTTCAACATAAATGATGTTTTTAATGCTAAAATAGAATTACTATTGTTATCCAGGATTTTTCTCCTTTACTGTTCTACCAAAACAGAGAAGCCAGTGAGCTGCTCAGGTTTGGGTATAAAAAGGTGGATTCAGTTAGAAATTCCTCATTCCTGTTTAAAACAGTCAAACGTGGAGAGCTGTGTGGAGTTAAAGCCCTTCATCATGCTGGATGGTCTATAAATACATATAAATATATATTATATAACAAATGAGACAGGTGGCCTAATCAATTTGTTAAGCACTGTAAGTAAATTCAAGCTCAAACAAACAAACAAAGCACAAAGCACTGGGAAGAGGACCCACGTTTCTAACGGCTACCTGTTCCCTACCAGAGGAGCTTTCACAGCTGTTCACCGACATGCTGCTCCTCCATTATCTCTGATGATGGCTCAGAATGAAATGTTCAGTCTTTGGATAAGTTGCCCGAACGCAGAGCGCGGTGCTAATGACCAGGCAGCGAGTCATTGCAGAAAGAGCAGCTAAGTGCACAGATGTCTATCGCACAGATGTGGAATAATTATCAGACACAAATTAAGCAGTTCTGCTGGTTTTCAGTGGTATATTAAGAAAAGGGTATGGCTAGCTTTAACTCCCTTCTGCTTTTAGAAATGAGGCTCCAGAACACACTGTGAGTGAGCATACGGTATGAAACGATCAGGTAAAGTCTAAGAAGGGCATTTCACATCAGCAGCGACAGAATCTTGAGCTTTTCAGCCGTTTACAGACTGATGTGTCACAACATGAAAGGTGCACATGTCCAGTCAAAGCCACACAAAGCCTGGGTCAACACGGCGGGTTAAACTGCTTCCTCCGGGGCAGAGCTTTCTCCTCCATCGCGGCTCCACATGGTCTTTACTCGACTGCTTTATTGTTCAGCTCTTAGCTTTTTGCAGACAAAATGTAATCTGTCATGGACTCAACAGTTTCTTTCTCTCGGTGTTGATGATTTTGGTCTAAACTATGATCAGAACTGTTGCCATTAATACGTGTACTTTTATTGTGCTGTTGTTTTAACCACTGCTGTACTTTCTTTCTGTACTCAGCTAATTATGACTGCAGCTGGTAAGAAGCTGATCACATGTTTACCGCACAGAAAACAAACAACTTCTGGGTTTTGTCCCAGAGGTCGAAAACCTCGTTCACAATATCAGCTACAATCTCACACGATGCAAATAACAAAAATGCAGCCTTGTTATTTTAGAAGAGGGCGATAAAACCAAGGCAGGATGAAATAGACTGATGGACTACGACATTAATGCCGGTCCCGGTCCTGTGCACGCACAGAGCAGCCTCCAACAGCAGGACAAGGCTCTCTGCCACGAGCCAAAACTCCTCAGGATGGCTCAGGCAACACGGCGAGGAGCCCGAGGGCTTGAGCTGGTCTCCAAACCCCAGTCCAATCCTGCATCCGTGAGAAGGCACTGAAACAAGCACGATCCACGGAGGACCCGACCCGCATCCCGCAGGATTTAAAGAATCCGCTGTCAACATCCTGGCGCCACCGCAGGAGAGCAGCACAGGTCTCGTGTCCACGGCCCGACGGGTCGGAGCCGTTTTGGCCGTACGAGGGGGAGCTGCAGTACATGTGTTCCTGTCACTGAACCAGCATCCCCACACTTATCGTTTTACATCGCTGGATTCTCATTTTGACAAAAGCCAGAAAACACTGTACAGCAAATCAAAACGGACTGCATTCATACTGAAAGACTGATCTCTTTACCCTCACCTTAATCGATGCTTTTATTCCCCCAGTTCTGCTATTTCATGAACATCACATTTGAATCCTTTTTTCTAAATTGCAGCTGCAAATCCTCACTCACCAGTTGACTCCATCGGCCTCCACCCAGGCGAACCGGTATTCATTGACCCTCAGCATCAACTGAAGGCAGCCAGCCACGCACTGGACGTACTGAGAGCTCTGCAAAAAGACGGCGGCAAACATTTACTCAAACGGGAGCGCGCCGTGTAGCTGTGCAATCAGGAGAGCAAACAAAGAACGTTAGGAAGTACATTTAGTGCAGCTCTGAAACATGGATTAGTTGACAAGCAGATAGCACACGGAGGTAGACAAGTCCAAACCTTGCAGTGCCGTCACCCATCATACGCATCGCACATGCAGTCTATCGTATGCATCAAATGTACCCATCGACACATGCTAAACCACAGACTAATAGGACAATACAGAGCGACAGCAGGGAAAGGTGTCCCATTGCACCTGAGCAGAATAATGGAAATTGAGTTTAGAGTGGAAGAAGCTGAGAGGAGGAGGAAATAGATCACATTAATCTGTTATTTAGAAAAGGCTGAATAGAAGCAGAGAAGTCCAGCAAGAGAAACAGGCAGCAGTGAAGACAGAAGAGTGGAGGTTACCTGGGTGGAAATGCAGAGGAAAAACATGATGGTAAGTTATTAGGTGGCTTACATGTATATATATATAAATATATATCTTAAAGCACACTTCTCAGAATAGTTACACTGTGCTCGACAAATTAAAGGAAATAAAATGGTTGGATGCTGCTGCTGCTGCTGTGCAAACGCTATTTCAATTTTCCCCTCATTATTCTAATGTTCAGGAGAAGCCGTTCGTCATGCGCTCTGAGCATTAAGGAGAATTGGCTCACTGCATGCAATCGTCACTTTGAAATCAACCAGTGGCAGCAAACACCATGCTATCTGGACGGAGGCCTCCGTCTGAGACTGTCCATGTCAACGGACTCATGTCTCCAACACTCGGGAGCTACCAATGAAACACTGCAGTGCAAAGAACAGGATGGGAGAGAAAAGGGTTGGAAAGAGAAGATGTGAAAGTCCGGTGACAGCTGCCAGACGCCAGCTTGCACAAACCCTGCCTTTGGTTCTGTTTGTTTCTGGAAGTGCCAGAGCGACTACAGACGCGCTTCACTCATACTCACTTCACTGGGGGAAATAGTTCCTGCTCCTGTTTCTGGACCTGTACCATGTAGATTCTAATGAGAGATACACAAAGAAACAGCAACACAATTGTTCAGAATCCATCGCTTCAGGCTGAGCTACAGCGGCAGTGTGTGAGCCTGATCACAAGTGACAGTTCAGGTGATGCAGATGCTCACGGGTTTGTTGCCCGGCTGTTGAGAGGAGAGAAGTGAACATCAAATGGCATTTTAAAGAAGCAGCTTACGAACATGTTTCAGTGAGTGTTTACAATGAAGAAGCTAAACATGCTTTTGGAAGAGCTGAACCTGATCTGAGGCTGACCGGCGGGTGTGAGACTAGATCAGAGCTGTTCTATCATCCCACTCCCTTCACAGCTGCCAACATCTGACAAGCCTCCCTAAACCTAATGTCAATAAACACATTATGTGAATTTAGGCAAAGTTGTAGAAGCTAGAGATGACTTTTGCTCGATTACACTCTCCTGACACAGAGAATAAATTAAACTCCATATAGAAGGATCCAGTGTCTGAAGAGGATGATGTGCCAGAATCTGTGAAATTAACAGTTCACCACATTTAGGATAAAGGACAGAGTGAACAGTTCCTATCAATGCTTAATATGGATGTAACACCACAGCATTTATATTAAAGCTCCCAAAGGATGACACAACAAGTTTTCTTCATCCTCCCCAGATGTGATTACGATCGTGCAGAAATCCCACACGACAAGAATCCATGTTGTGATCTTAGCGAACCTCGACAGCTCTCTTCAGCTGCCCGCATTCTGACCACCACACCATACATGGCTGCTGGCAACCGCACTCCTGTAGCCTCAGAAGTAAAACACCAAACCCAACGTCCTTGTTGAGATCATTTTAAAAGCCCCCTTAAGCATCACGACTTCCCGTTTCCGTACCTGTGAGCTGAGCTGGCTCTTGATCCAGTTGAAGTAGTAGTTCAGGTCGCTGCCCTCCATCAGGTCACGGCCCCAGGCGGCCAGCTTAGCGATGATCCTCGCCGCCTAAAGCAAAACATTTATATTTATTACTTGTTTTGGTAAACAGGTAGCAACGAAAATCACACAGAATCTAGATTTCAGGTAAAATACGTGCACAGCAATATTAGAAGTGAACCACTTTGTTTGCTAACTGTGTTCTGTCCTTAAAGCTTTGTTTGAGACAAAGATAAAGAGCTACATCTCTGTTTCATCTGCAGCACTCTCTATCTGATCAGATCCACGATGCACTGCTGCAGTTTTAATTTGGACTTTAGGACAAGGGCACAAACATATAACAGAGAAGCAGGAAGAAGGCCGAGTCCTTTCCCAGAAACCCCTCCTCATACAAACACCACAGAAGCCACATCTCATATCGCATAAACAGTTTCAGCTCGGAGTGAAACAGGAATAAATTCAGCTCTTCAGTTTCCTCCTCGTCAGGAGAGGATGTGCTGAGACGTCGAGGCGATAATTTAAAAGCACGACTCAGCATGATAGCTGGATTGAGCTAAGTGCTGTGTCACAGACTTGGGGTCACATTATGCCCACCTGCTGGATGCCATCTGGTCGGTGCACTCAATAAAGCTGCATGTGCCCTATCACAGTACTCAGTTCGTCATTAGGGGGCCATTTTTTACTTGAAATGGGCGGCAGGGACATTCATGACTTGTTTTTAAAGAGAGAAGGTTGCTTTGTGAGGAATTACTGATGCCGATGAGAAACAGAGCGTGGATGGAGTCAGAATCATGCTTCGGTTTTAGGAATTAAACTACAGATGTTTTCCTACTTATGATAATCATACTTATTCAAAGAGCACTTTTCTAACTCCACATTACAAAGAGCTTCACGAGAGAAACAAACTAAAACCGACAAGTGACAAAATCAGCAGCAGCTAAAGAAGAAGATAAACTGTTTAGTCTAGAAAAGCTAATGCAGGTTCAATTTTAAAAGATGTCAAATAAAAGTAAAACTCATGACAACTCAGTCAGGCCGTCTGATAAAACAATGTTTTAGGAGGAGACTAATTCCTTTGCTCAGCGTGCACACGTCTGACCTGAAGAACGACGACGTGGCTAACGCTGCAGGCAGAGCTCGGATTTTAAAGGTCTTCCAAACACTGAAACATCTGCCAACTCACCATGTGGACGGTAAAGAGGTCCTGACGATTCAGCATCGGAAGGAAGTAGGACCAGGCGGTGTTTTTTGTCTTCTTGGCGTAGTCGAAGAAGATGCTCACCCTCTGATGGTTCTCCTGAGCGACGGTGGAAACACAACCTCGGATGAGCTCTTGGATTGTAAACTTTGACACTTTGAACATAATCCTAACGTACAAAATGTTAACACGGCAGCAATTCACAAATAGGTCTATTAATAACAATATTGATAACTGTCATGACAAAGTCTGACGCCACCTGGATTAAAGGTGCAACCAGTCCTTAATGTGTCACCAGCTAACAACCACAAACGCTTTTCTTCTGGTAGACTTTTACTCAATGAACCCTTTTGTGGTTTAAACATCAGCACAGCTCTCAAGTTATACTGAACGGATAAAGTACCGCTGACAGCAAATTAGACGTTACGTATCAGAAGTGTTTTGGAAGAAGGGGGATCCAGCTGAGGGTATTACTTCTGAATTTAGCTGCATATTCATCAGTTTGACTGGTTTAAACTGTGCCGTGTGTTTTCTGGAAGTACCATCAGCGGCTGAAAGAATTAGCATGGCCGACTGTCGACATGGAAAACTGCAATTTTTGCGTTTTCACTAAACCCAGTGACGTCGGCCAAAGTTCTGAGCGCAAATAAAACCTAAACAAAAACTCTTTCTTTGTGAGGTTGAACAATGTGATCTTTAGACCGCTCAAGCTTTCTGAAAATGTTGTTACTGCCTTCTAAAATATCTCTCTCTATATATATATATATGTGTGTGTCCCATTTGTCTCGGCCTTGGTTCTGTCTGTGTACCTGCAGAGTGTCATCAATCAGCGTCAGGATGTACTGGACCGTCTGCTCCTTGGAGATGTGGGCCATCAGGTTGAGGAAGGTCTTTGCACACTGAGCAGGAATCAGAAACACAGCACACGTGAATCTCTCCACAGAACTGAACAAGCGACCTTTGTTGTCATTCCGCCGTCCAGACACGAGCTCGGGTCCGTGGTTTGGTTTACGGGGATTCATTTCACAAAGAGCAGCCATGTCACAGCTTCAGGGGAAATTTCAGAGTGACAACAGCGCTGCAGGTAAAACAAGACGCTACCTTGAGGACGGCATGTTGGTACTGGGCACACGCAGAACACCAAATACAAACCAGGAAGTCCAGATTAAAGCTGTTTGAAAAGCCAGGATACTGCAAGTTGTCTGAAGCCCTCCTCCTACAATGCTGGTATTAAATCAAGTAATTTCTAATAACTGTGGAGGTCTTCTGTGATCTGATGCAGATCTGCTCTGTACAGTTTGTAATCTGTAAAGTAAAGAGCGCACTGCTAATAAGTGACCATATTTGGAAAACACAGACTTCCTGTAATATAATTCACATGCTGATCGGCTTCTCGGTGATTTGGGTTTTTTGTTGTATTCTCTCCACCTCTGCTTCTTTTTCTGTGCAGAATTATGGAGGCTGCAATTACAAATAAGAGGCTCTGCAGTAAGGAACATGTTGCTGTCAACAGTTATTATGCTGCAGTCTGTTAATATTTGTGAATAAGGTCAGCAAATACAAGTACAACACACACGTATCCAGTGTGAATGCGCCACACAAGACACTTAGATGGAGGGGTCACTTCTAAACCACGAGTTAATGACGTATTCTTAGTCCCATAAGAATAGGACTTATGTCTTATAAGGAGGAACTGAGGCAACTCTAAAGCAACACACTGCTTTCAGTGGTTACATGACAGATAACCCGACCACGCGTTGGTCCATTTGTACATTTAGTCACCAGCTCTGTTAATAAAAGGTAATTAAGGGGGAAACCTGAGTTGTTTTGCTGCAGAGCCATGATCTATCTGAGAGGCTGCCAAGACATGTCAGTGGCTGCAAATGCTACAGCAAACACTGAATGACGGTGACAGTGCAAAAGGACTGGGTACCTGATGTCCTTCATTGGTCAGGATGACCTGTTTGTCCTCAGAGTTGGCCACCTCGAACTTCTTGATGAACTCACAGTCCTCTGTTGAGATCATCTGACTCCTACAAGACAACAAACCAAGACACCGTGGTTACAGAGCACTGCTACCAACAACAAATGAGAGACACTCAAACTTGAACGGGGACAATATCAGGCTGGTTAAAATAAAAAGATCGTTTCTATTTCTTATTTCCAAGGAATCCAGAACATTCCAGTCGAAGCGGGCCATACAGCGTAAACACACTGGGCAGCTGTACCAATGTACTTTGCTTTTTCACAAGCACACTGCTGCAAATTGTGCAGGACCGCTTGAACAACAACAGCAAGAACCCTCGATATGTCGCATGTTCCAGTCAAAACACCGCACACAGCCGTCTACGAGGGTAAAAGTAAAAACATGCTTTTAGTACGTCCATACTTATTATAACCAGAAATAAATCATCAGATGAGGTTTTTTTCAGGAATGAGACCGTGAGTCATAAATCAGAGCTGCTGTATTGAAACTAACTGGTTAAAAAGAGGAAGTATCACCCGAGACAGTGAATCAGAGTCCAGGAAGTGGAGCAGAGCTGCTTTTAGATCAGCACACGAATTCAGTCGGCAGGTTTCCACCAATGTGTTCAGAAAGATGGATGAAGTGAGAGCTGATTATTAACATGCTGACTTTAACATGATGTTAATTAAAATTAATAAACATTTAGTACAATATGCAGCTTTACTCTACCAAACAGAGCGATGACACCCCTCGGTATCATGACACTTCCTGAGAAGTCCACTTCTGCTCTTCTACTCTTGGAATGTATGTAGCTGGGGTGGATTAAATACTAGAAACAGAGACCCACATCAGCCCCTCAGTAGGAAACCTGAACAGAAATATCGTCTTCTAGACAGCGTCGAACAAAAGCCGACCCTCATAAAAGCACGATTTATGTCAGAGCTGTGGTACTGCATTGGATCGGACAGCACCACGATGTCCTGCTGTGAACTTACTGGAGATACGACTGCCAGTTGACCTGATTGGCCCGAACCTCAGCTGCCTTGGCAGCGATGATGTTGGTGGGTACCGCAGCGTCCACCGCCCCACGAATATCCATCCTGGAATATATCTCCTACAGTATATGCCTGAATTAAAATCCAACGCCACCTGGATGAAAACAGAATCAGCTTCAGCACAGTGACTCAAGATCAGAGGAAAGATCACAGGATGGAGGTTGTTCTGATCGTGGACAAACTAAAGTGATTGTCTTCAATCAGTCAATTACTTTTTTAATCACTTGATCAGTTATTAGATCTAAGAAAAGTCAGAAAATGGTGACCAAAGCCCAGAAGGATGTCCTCACATGTCCTTCTTTTGTCCACAACCACAGATAATCAGTTTACTGCCACAGAGGAATAAAGAACACACAACATTTTCTAATTAAGGAAGCAACTACGACTAATAATTACGTATTAAAACAGTTGGCTAATGACTCAATAGTTGATGTACAGTAACAGTAAGGATGCTGCCACTGGGTTGGACAGCTGTCACTGAGCTGGCAGGCCAAGAAGGAAGCTGTCATGCAGGGACTTTGAGGTCAAATAGTTGGCCATTAATGCAGAAAAAATGTGTGCTTATATATCAGCCTCAAGTCATCCTAGTGGTTAAACTCTGGTTTAAAGCTAGCTAACAAGCTAACAAGCAGCTGAAGCAGCAGGTCATGCTAGACAACTAGCTTATCCCAATGTCACGACAGCTGGTTGTGATTCTTCCCAAGAACTGTGATAAAACACTGCAGCGCACAGCCCATGACATTAAACTGGGCTCACACTGTAGCTATGTATAACTCATAAATATGAAAGTTAGAATTTATACAGCTAACAGCGACAGTTAGCTGAGGGCTAGCTAGCAGCACAAATAAGCTGATGCTAACCGAGCCTAGCTGCGCTGATGTAGCCTCGACGCGTCTTCTGTCAAAACGGTAAATGCTACACAGGCGGCAGCCAGTAGGACGTCCCGGTGACATGACATGTATGTTTGTCGAACTATAATCTACATGACAACGAAGAGCAGAGTAAAATACCAGCCGATTCACTCACCTAGCTGCTGCAGCGCTGAGCGACCAGCTGACGGACTACAACACGACGTCACGGCTGTCATGTGACGGTCAGGCGGTCACGTGCACCGCAGCCCGGCCGGCTTTTATTCTGAAGTAATAGAAATAGGGGATTTCCACAGTGCACAGTAAACTTTTAGGCTGCTAACGAGGTTTTTAACTACATGCAAGCTACATAAGAACTGCTGTGATCGTATTTCCAACGCAAAGCAGCAAAACACGTCAGTCAGACAGTAAAACCAAAGCTGAGCCATGTTCAGCATTAACATGACAGTGACTTGTTGTATTGCTGTGACTTGCAGAGATGTGATGACACCTCACAGAGCGTCTCAGAAGTTTAAATTGATTTGATTTGATTGTCATTCAGGCGATCAAACATTTCAGTAATCTAGGAGCACAGATGCAGCTGCTGTTGAGGAAAAGCGTTCACCAGTAAAGCCCCATGACACGACATTATAAATAAATAACTAACAGTATTCACAATTCTGTCCACAACCCAGTGATAACTTCTCAAACTGCAGCAACGTACGATAAAATAAAATGTGTTTTCACTGCTAGGAGGCGACCTGTTGTCGTGTTTTGCCCCTTTATCGATTAACGCTGTGTTTGTAGTGACGAGGAAGCATCCTGCTGCTGCACATCTACAGCTGTGAGACTTTCAAACTGAAAACTCTCTGAATTCATATGCTTGATTTGACAGATCAGACTTTAGAGACAATAAAATGACATCTAAAAGGTTTTGATCAGCTATGTACCATCAGAATGACAGGTGGCTTTTTGCTTTAATAGTCTAACTTTTGTAAACAAACACATTTTGATTCATAAAACATGTGAGACGATATCCTTGGATGCCTCCTGTAAGATAATTATGAGTATTTACATGAGGATTATAGAAACCTTCTGGCCAGTATTTAAGGATAATAACTGTTTTGGAGAAAGCAACCAGCCACATTTACACAAGTACTGAGGTACAACTGTGAGGTGCTTGAGTATTTTTATATCCTGCTTCTTCATACTCAACAGCATCTCAGGGCTAAATAATGTACCAGTGACTGCCGTGAAGTTAAATTACAGCTTCAGCCACTTGTTCAGATTAAGATTTTGCACACAGAACAGATGAGGAAGTTATTAAAACATGATGCACTGTGTTTGTTTTACCCAAAGTATTTTAAATATTTGAAATGAACTCAACTCCAATCAACTACAGCAGTTAAATGTTCTGTGCACATTCTTTTCCTGCACCATTAGTCACTTTTCAAAATGTTGAGTGCAATGTTTCAGCATCACTCACATAGATTTACAGAATTATTATTTCAAATGCAGGACTTTTCACAGCACAGAACTCCTGCTTCTGAATAAATACATAAATCACAAGCGCACAAAGGTGTAAATTCTGCATTTCACCTTCACCATATTCACCGTGCAGTGTTTCCTGTCTTGTTATTATCTTGTTGTGTCAGTTGGACATCACAAAAACAACAAATACAACTAAAAAATATTTCCAGTAAAAGTGAACTTCTAGTAAAATTAATTAAAAGTTGCGACTGATTTGGTTTACCTGTAGAAACGGAGCATTTAAATGTAATTACAACCTGCTTTTAGCATTTGAAGACCATGAATAACATGTTATAATAATAATTCCATGCTAATACTCTGAATCTGTCCGTGTGTATGATCCAGAAACTTCAGTGGAACTTTTGGTATTTTTACCAATTTATTAAAAAAAGGCTTCTGCACCAAATATGAAATGAAATAGATAGAAGTGAGCGGACTGTCTATGCAGCTGCTGTCAAAGCACAGACAGAAGCTCACAAATCACTGAACAACAAAACAAAGCGGACAACATGTAAACATGGCGCCACTCGGGCCGATCAGTCCGCTGTGCTGTCGGTCGGCGGTTTGCTTGAGGTTCGGGGCTTTGTGAGGATGACAGAGGACGGAAGTCAGCTGATCGCTCACACCGAAGAGCGCTGATGAGTGTTTATCCGAGTGAGTCTGTAATGAGAGACACGACCAAGAGCAACACGGCAGATCCCAGTCAAACAGAGCAGGATGTGGGAGGTTTCCACTGTGACCATATGTTTCCTCCATGGGGTCAGTTCACCAATGTGTCCTAATCCGTTGTATTACAAGAGTGTTGATCAAGGAGCGTATACATTTACACATGATTCCACGTCTGTCTTCCTCTGCGTCCATCTAACTCAGACGCTAAGACCTCCAGGCTTAATCTGGCCTAAGCTGGTGAGACGCAGTAAAGCACAGAGGAATCAGGATTGCATCCAGTGGGAACATTGTCCTAATCCCCTTCTGCCCTCTCCTTTGTAAACACTCTTCTCTCCGTCAGGGTCACTGATGCTTTTTCCCTCTTCTCTCGCCTTCCGTCGCGATGTGCTTCGGAGAAGACGCCGGGGAGACGTAGACAGAGGAGCGGAGAGCGTGGATTTCTCATGATCTCGAGCAGACTCGAGCCTCACGTGGCGAGTGAGGCCTCGTGGTCGGAGCATGCCATGTGCTAGAGCGGCGAGGCAGTGGGAGATCAGGCCCACGTCTGCTCTGCGGGGGATCAGACGCACCAGGGCCCTGATGTGGCAGCGGATTCGGGGGCTGGCCCGGTCCTGCCGGCACGGCGCCGGGTACCCGGTCAACTACAACGACCCGAACCGAGAGGAGCAGGAGATGGTGTGCCTTGAGGTACGGACATGTAGTGCTGTTCCCAACCCGAGGCATTGCAGTAACAGCCTCTTTATCGTAAACGCACCACCTGATGTACATTTGGAGCTCGTTTTCTTTGAGCAAACACCTCACTGTCCTCAGAGTAAGGAATAATTAGCTGGCAACCCACTAATCAGTGTGTTTTTGCTGCGATTAGGAAGCCCACATTTGAAAGCTTTCTGTCAAAAGGATTCATTCTGAGAGCCTAATTAACATTGTGATGTTCAGAGCAGCGATATGTCTCCACACATCCGTCACGTTCATTAATTACCTGCAGCTAATGAAACATCCTACACTCTGTCTTTTCCTGTTGCTGTTATTGCAACTCGTCTGAGCATCAGCGGCCCTTTCATGCTTCCTGCTGTTCCTCTATTTAGGGAAGCACCTCCTGTCTGAACGAGGCTTAAGAAGATTAAAAGAAGAAGATAGTGTGCCTTAAAATAGTGTAATGCAGCTCGCAGGAATTCTGGACAAAGTTGTGCAGATGGACGACGTGCACGGCGGCTGGCACGAGCATCCCGGCGCGATATTTAGTGAGAAACAACCACGTCTGAGGGTCGCGAGCCCATCCAGAGGGTTAAGACGTGCTTTTGTTTGGAAACTTTAAATATAGTCATTCTTGGTAAACGGATATAAAAAGATTTCCGGCGACTTTCTGTAGTAACAGCAGCTATTCATAGCGGGTGGAGGATTGTAGGAGTGCCAGTAAGACACAGGAGCTGAGTGGGAGGTTACGACAAGACACGAGTCAGTTCAGGTCATTAACACCGAGCAGTGTGGCCGGGTGTCTCAGAGCACCACTGGAGCCGCTGACACAGAATCAAGCTGTTTCACATTTTAAACTGAGCTAAGGAAGGCTGAGGGTGACTCTCCTGTGCAGTATGGGGACACGCTGGGCGTTTATGGGTGTTAATTAGAGCTGAAATTGGGATCTGCTTGAAACAGAAGGTCATTTTTTTTTATTGTGTTTGTAGGAGCAGGTGTAAATAATGACACTAGCTTTAGAGGTCTGCACTGGTTCTGTTGCTTGATGATGATGGAGCTCCACGTAGCCATGAGAACGAGTCGGTGTTTGTCGTCTCATCCTCAGAGAGAGTCAGGGATGAAACAAACGTCCTCTGCTGGACTCGAACTACAGACGCTGGAACTACCGGGTCGGCTCTGTGCAGCATCAGGTTGCTCTGACCCGTCTCGTTCATATCCAGCTGTTTGCTATCAGGCTGATCATGTGATGCTTTCAGGTCGGTGACTCATGAAGCCGCTGCAGCTTCAGTAGACGTGAACCTTTCAGACAGTGGAACATGTTTTATCTTTATTATATTCAGTTAACAAACAACTATGCAAGAAATTCAGCCATCGCCAAGACACTGCTCCAACCGTCCTTATTGGCCTAAAGACAGCCTGGAACAGTTCTAGAAATTCTAACGGCGTGTCCTGAACTCTTAACTTTTGTTTTAGAGTCCGACTCAGCAAAGCAAAGAGGTCTGAGGTCTCCCTCCACTGAGTGACTGTTGATGGGTGAAAATCTAGTTTTTAACCTTGTTAACGTGCCCATATGTTGGCTTTTATGTCACAGAAGATGTAGCATCGGGAAAACAAGCCCTCAGTGTCGTGGTACGTCCAGCTCTCTGATGAAAACCCAGATTCAGACTCCCAGAGCTTCACATGAAACAAACCTAAAGAACCAGTCCTGTTGTCTGTGAAGATGCTGAACTGCAGTTTACAACTCAGTCCTAAGATCTCCCCCCAGGAAGATGAACCCACACCGAGCCACAGAGACCCTAACGAACCCCACTGTGTCAGGGGGAGCACTAACGAGTCACATAACGAGGGGGAGGAGCTACAAACCCCCAACTGAAACTCAGTGTTAATGGCATCTCAGTCCTACAACTCTTGATTCTGCTCATGAAAAATTCCTTCTATGGGATAAAATGCAGGGAACCTTGAAGTAGAACATCTGAGGAAGAATCCTTCTTCCAGGATGGACAGACATGCAGCAGAGTGCAGGGAAGCAGTGCACCAGATTTACCATGGAGACAATCAAGATGACAGAATAGGAGAATGTAGATATATGAAAAACATGATCTGGGAGAACATCAAGCAGCTTCCAGAGTAACTGAACAGACAGAAGCTCCGCCTCTCCCTGTATATAACAAATGTATTAGACCAGACCACCTGTCTAATGTGTGGTTGTTGTTGAGCTATACATATATGTTTACATGTAGACCATCCAGCATGATGAGGTGCTTTAACGCCACTCAGCTCTCCACGTTTCACAGGAACGAGGAATTTAAACTGAATCCACCTTTTTATAGCCAAACCTGAGCAGCTCACTGGACTTCTCTGAGGAACTGATCCAGCATCACCTTCAGCCACTAAAACTAATGTTTCTGTTCAGGAATGTGAGTAAATAATCTGACATCTGGATCAGGAAATAATAATAATGAGCTTTACTGTTCTTTAAATCTGAAAGTTCCTGGATGACAATAATAATTATATTTTATCATTAAAAACATCATTTTGGTTAAAGAGCTTCTACATCCTGGTGTATGAACCACTACAGAGACATAAGGAATGATTGTGGTGATTACCAATGCTGTTAATTTAGGGCATAAACCTGACATTTAGTGGAGGTCTAGTACATTTCTTAGGCACTGTACATGATATATATTGTGTATTTTTTCTTAAACAATATATATATACACACATACATATTATTCTAAAGAAATGTACTCAATTAAATGACTGCATTCTTTTCTTTATTCTTTATTACACACCAGCTGAGCTTGTAGCAGCCTCATGAGAGCATCAGGCTACACGAGCATGTGACAGTTAAAGCATCAACACTGTGAATGTGAATGGACTTCTGCAAATATCGTAAAACTGGATGCAACTCCTGCAACATGAATCACGGCCACATTCAGGAAAAGGGTGACAGAACTGCAGCACGATGCTGTCGGCCACAATGTTCGCCCTGCAAGGTTCTCACATTAAAAAAATTAATAAATTAGCTGAATAAAATTGAGTTTTCCTTGTAAATGCGTGCGCTGGATGGAGTGCATGAAGATCTGTCGCCTCCAGACACGCTGACAACGTGATGTTGAAGGAAAAACAAAAGATGATTAAAACACTGCTCGCACATTATTAAATGACATTTACGAGGAGCAGCTTGATCCTCTGGAGAAACTCTTCAGAAGGACAAGAGCAGCGGTGAGAAACCAACAGAGAGAAAATCCGGTTGCCTCTGCTCTGTTTCCATTTTTGGTGCCGTGTGATTGAACAGCACATCTTCACCTTCGAAGTGCTCACAGTTGCCATGCATACGGTGATTTTTGGAGGTGTTAAGTCGGTAACCACGCGTCCTCTCCGCTCCCTGTCTGCATGTTGAGCTCCAGTGATTGAATCTAAAGTTGATTCTATCTTCCTGTAAGCTAGACAGTGAATTAAACCCCCATAATCACACACGGAATAGACTTTATTCATCCACCCAGCTCCGTCGCCCTGCTCTGCCTTGTGACCTTCGGATTTACTCCCTCCTCCACTTGGTGCCCTCGGAGTGAAAAGTGTGCGATCATCAAACCACAACAGCATAAGTGCCGTTTGCTGCTGGTGTGTGTACGTATCAATCTCACCGGGCTATTTGTGGGTCTGCGTTGCATAACATTAACACACAGGAAGGTGTTAAATGAAGTGCTGTGGAGAAAGTCACATGTTTGTATCTCAGGGAGGGAATGAAGATGTGGAGATGCTCTGGGCTCGCCCTGGTGTGGCATCACTGGGACGTAGTGACTCTGGACAGGAAACAGATCCATTTTTTGACAACAGAACAGATGAATCCCTGAATGGGTCCATCAGCAGAGTCACAGAACAGCACCAGTTCTCCTCAGAGTTCCCTCGCCTGCTATTCCAGCGTGAAGCGTCAGGAGGCATCTTGGATGGCAGCGAGGCCCCGAAAGGCAACAGCACCAACGTACTAGTGCACGTTCAGCAGATGAAGTAGGTGTGTGACACGAGCAGAACAGACAGGTATTGAGTACATAGTGCCATCTGGTGATTACACAAAGCAAGACAAGCAGTGCATTCTCAGAGCAAACCACGACTCTCATAGATCACACTGAACGATGAGTGTGGACATGAACGCGTCCCTCCATTCCAGCTTGAGTCTGCATCAAATGGCCACAACATTCATAAGACCCATACATGTGACTCGTTAGGGGTCACAGTAAAGGCATAATATCCTGCAACCATAGCTGTGGAAATCAAAAGCCTTGGTATCATGTGCAGGGAGGACATCATGTCAGTGCTGCAATAAGAGCTGCCTTCAGGTGGCAGTGTTGTCTTCTGCATCACTACAGGTTGCAGGCCTCCACTGTGGAGTCACACATAGCAGCCTTTAAACGCTCTGTGAAAGAGCTGAAGAGAAGGCAGGCTGGAAGGTGAACGGGCCGGGAGGTTGGGAAGAAGCAGCAGCCTGTGATGTGAATAGTTAGGGACGGTCCAGATGTGGTTGTTATACGGGGAGAAGCAACACATGTGGAGGATGTGGGCTGCTCAGTTAAAGATGGCAGTCCTCTGTTTTCTGCTTTAAGTTCAGGTTAAGAAGTCATCTGAGGGATGAGATTCAGGAGAACATGCATCCAGATGTGTGTGTGTGTTGACTGTATGAGCAGCATGTTGGATAAAAAACCTCACTGCAAACTCTCAAGATGAATGTCAGCAATTATATAACATCAGCTGCCAAAGTCATGCTATCCTCCAGCAGCTGCTCTCCGGTTCAGCACCACAGACAGCGACTCCAGCCCGGTGCAGCAGGTCCACCTCTGGTCGGTAACAAGGTCTTTAAATGTGTTCAACTTCATCTTCATCATCAGCAGCAGCAGCAATGTGAAGAGCTCCAGCTGAGTTTTTATCATCATCATCATTATTTCACATGTGGTGCTTCAGTGACTGCGCTTCATCTCTCTTCCTCTCCTTTATCAGAGGCTGACATCATCCAGCTGTTGCTTGGAGTCCGTTTTTAGCGGCTCATAGGAGGCAGGCAGGGTAGAGGACCCGCACACCGAACCTGTCGGGGTTTACGCTCCTGACTGGTCTACTACGAGTTGGAGAAGAGACGCATGCGTACTGACTTGAAGCAGCCGGTCGGAGGAGAGAGAAAAAAAAAAGCCTTATGTGCCATCGGATGTAATCAAGGCAAAGAATTACCTCTTCTCGCTGTGCATACATGGTGAAATTGTAAGTACTGGTCGCGAACCTGTGCATCGTTGCGCGGACGTTTGGCGAGCGCTGCGTTTGAGGCCGTTTGGCGGCATTTTAACGGCGTGTCACTGTGTAGCCGTACAGCGGGCTTTTAACAGATCGAGGCAGTGTCTTTTCGGTGGTTGTCCAGGGCGATGGAGCTCCACGGTTCTTCATGGAGGCACTTTCCATTGACGCGAACGCAGCGCTTTCTGCTGAGGAGCCGTCGGGTTCCGGCGTCGTTCGCGCCGCCGTGAGAGCTGAAGAAGCGCTCTGGTTTATTTGGCGTTATCATGATTTATCCTTTTGAATGGGTACGACCACCCCCACCCCCCATTTCATCGTCTGTAGCTGCTGAGTCGAGCCATAGCGTGTGTCAGCTCTGAAGCATCCGACGCGTAAAATATGCCATTTGCCAAGACGCACGAAATCCGCAGCAGAAGCAGAAGGCAGCTCCGAATGTGAGAAAGGAAAAAAAAACCGCGGATCCATTTTAGAAATGACCAAACGGTGCTGTATTCAGTGAGAGGATGTGATGGAGCGATGCTGCGGTTATAGATTTGCGAGCTGCGCCTTCAGGCCCTCCCTCCTTCCTTCCCTCCCATGGACCACATCTTCAGACATTTTTTTTTGAAGCATCGCTTCTCGTGTCAGGTAGTGTCCGGATGATGCCGCGCGGTGGAGGCGACAGCTCTGTTACATAAATGATGTGACAGGATTTGGCAGCGTCTGACCTGCTGCTGACACATTTGTTAAAATCAGACAAGAAGTCGGTGTGCAGGCCTGCAGACCAGGAGGTTCCGCTGCTCGCTGCTGCTGCTGCACAGTGATAATTACAGCCTGAAGGTTCATGACAATCTGAGGCTTGAGGAGTACAAATCCTCAGAGGGCAGACATGTACATTATCTGGAGGTGTATTTGATGTATTGCTCCACTTGGGTCCGGTGAGCGTTGCAGATCCTTTAATGCTCTGCTTCTACACTCTGGCTTCCACAAATGGGATATTTTACATTTTGGATTATGGATATTGAACCCATGGTCTAAAATCTGCCCCCTTTGCCCCCACACATGCAATCAGAGTGTGTGAGGGAAAATACGGCCAGTTTGAGATTAGAAAGACTGAAATGATCTCAGTGGGTGCAACAAAACCAGCAAATTATTCCTCCATACTTTAGAAAGCAGCATTCCTTCACAGTGGGACCTCTGGGCATCAGCACAGCATCCACAGCACCACACAGACAGGTGTAGGGATTTAAACACATTTAACTCATCTGTATCCTTGCAGAAGTGCTGCCAGAAATGTATTGATGGTGTGATTTTACCGCTGCGTCGCCTCAGTGCAGCCAGTGCTCCTGGTCTGTGTCTGTGGCAGGCCGAGAGATTTTCCTACAAGACCAACCCTCAGCTGAATGCCATTCCTGACGGCGACGCTCTGAACTCCCTCTCCTGTCTGCAGCCCATGGGATCAGAGCGGATGGAGATGCGAAAGAGGCAGATGTCGGTGCAGCAGGAGTCGGCAGCGGGGGGAACTGCACCGGCCCAGCAGGACCAGCCGGGCCAGGCCAACCCACGGGGCTCCAATGCATGTTGCTTCTGCTGGTGCTGCTGCTGTAGCTGCTCCTGGTAGGTCTTCCCCCGACCGGGGCCCAGCACGGTCTGAGCTACTGTGTCACACCAGCAGGCTTCAGCTTCTTTGACATTTCTGCATGTGATCAGTGGATGTCTGTCAGGCAGCAGCACTGCTACACTCACAGAACACAACGAAACCTACGTACCTGCTGCTGTTCCATCTGATCAGGCACAGAACCACAAGCAGTCTGCATATGCTGCTACAGCTCTGTGAGCTTGTTGCACAATAAGTAATCGATATTGGCTTGTCACAGGTATATTGGTATCAGCCAGTATCAAAGCCTCTTTTTATTTTGGAGCATAATGCAGAAAACCCCACCTGGAGTCATTTAAAATGCTGCTGTCATGTATAACTTGTCCAGTTGAGCGGCTCTGGCTGCTGCAGCACATGTAGCAGAGCCCATATCACAGCTGAGCAGACAATGGTGCACAACCAAGAGCCAGCTGAGCATAACTCTAACATACTGTATGTAAAGGCATAAGGAAAAAAGGTCAATATGTTGATGTCGGAATTGTTTTTTTGCTCTCTAAAAATTGGTATCGCCATCAGCCTCAAAAGTCCAGTGTTGGTCCGGCTCTGGAAATCAGAATTAGAAGAAAAAGCTGCTTTCTGGCTCAGAGTTACTCAGTGTAAAGAGCTGGTTTGATAGGTATACACTGAGAGCATGTGTAGACCAGGCATCTCCAGCTCAGGTCCTCGTGAGCTGCTGTCCTGACTCACCTGACTCACATGAATGGATCACTAACAGACGTGTGTAGAACTTGACAACAAGCTGTTGGAGATCCGTTCATGTGAGTCAGGTGTGTTGGAAACATCTAAAACTTGCAGGACAGGAGCTCACGAGGACCAGAGCTGGAGATCCCTGGTGTAGCATATTAGAAAATGAGAAGTCCATCAATAAATATACACATTTTTCAAGCAAAAAAAAAGCAATTATTGGTCTCAGCTTCCTAAATGTGAGGACCTGGTGCTCGGTCAGATAACTGAATACGTTGGTGTTTTAAATCACTCTGGACTGTGAAAGTTGTGTTCCTTTATTCTGACATTTTAATGAAAGCAACAACAAAATCACGCAATCAGGAAAGTAATGGTTAGTTCCTACAAATGTTCCCTCAGCGTAGACTTGCCAAAGACACATGCACATGTTTAACGTGCTGCTGAGTTAAACTATAGAATAGATGAAGTGATGTGTCGCAGTTCATGAAGCTCACCGTCTGTGTGTCGTCTCACCATCAGGAACGAAGACCGGGATGAAAGGAACCGGAAGGCATCATATGACGTCAAGGAAGGGACCGCAGACTGTGAAGACTGGTCAGCTCAAACCACCGTACAAAAATACATCCCCTGTTGAATGATCTGGCTGCTGAATGTCGCTCTCTCCCCTGTTCCCGTCCTGTGTGCAGTCCTAAGCCCACGCTGGAGGAGGTGCGCTCGTGGGGGCAGTCGTTTGACAAGCTGATGTGCTGCCCGGCGGGGAGGAACTCTTTCCGGCAGTTTCTTCGCACCGAGTTCAGCGAGGAGAACATGCTCTTCTGGCTGGCCTGCGAGGAGTTCTGCAAAGAGACCAACAAGAGCGGCATCGAGGAGAAGGCCCGGGTCATCTACGAGGACTACATCTCCATTCTCTCACCCAAAGAGGTCTGACAGCTTGGTTTCATTAAAGCGTTTGATTGTTAAAACTTAAATGTGATGACGAAGGCCTCGGCTGACACTGAAGTCACAGCTGCATATTCTGAGATTTTCTTTTTTTAACTGAGAGTTTGATGAGGCTGCAGGTGTCTCGGTGGTTAGCACCGTCACCTCGTAGGAAGAAGGTCACCGGTGAGGACACCCGGGATCTTCCTGCGTGGAGTCTCCATGTTCTCCCCGTGCAGCGTGGGTTCTCTCCGGGTTCTCCGGCTTCCTCCCACAGTCCAGAAACATGCTGAGGTTAATTGGTGATTGTAAATTGTCCGTAGGTGTGAATGTGAGTGTGCTTGGTTGTCTGTACAGACAATGGAGGGATGGATGGATGGAGTTTGATGAGGATATCAGTACAGCGCTCGTAAACAGGAGCAGCTCGCCTGGTTCCGTCCAAAGGTAGAAAAACCCGCCTAATTAACACACTGTACTGGGTTTGTTTAATCCACACAAAAACCAGTTACACGCCAGACCAGCTCTCAGCGCTGAGCAGTTGCCAGGCAACCAGCGGAGATTCCAGGAAGTCATCGGCCCGGCCAAGAAACACAACCCCCCGCTAAACGAGGGATTGTGGTTTTTACACTTTTGCATGTCTTAAATAAACACGGTGAGCTCCAGAGATGAGTCTCGTCCCCTTGGTGTGGAGCAGGGCTAGCTGCTGCGTCCCGTTCCAGGCCTCTGCCGAGCTAATCGGCTGCTCACATCCTGTCGTTGACCTTTTCAGGAAGAAAGTGAACATTTGTCGCATGCCGCTCCCCCTAACGGTTTGTTCTCTCCACTCCCAGGTGAGCCTGGACTCCCGCGTGCGCGAGGCGATCAACAGGAACATGCTGGAGCCCACCTCGCACACGTTCGACGACGCCCAGCTGCAGATCTACACACTGATGCAAAGAGACTCGTATCCCCGCTACATGAACTCCCCAGCCTACAAAAACCTGCTCAACACTCTGTCGGAGCAGTCCCCCGAATCCTAGGGCGGTGATGACCTGTGATCTTTTAACTCTCTTTACCCCCGTCTCCCCCGCCCCCCCCTCCTTTTTTTAAAGTTTTCTTTGTATGTTCAGTGTAGGATTACATGAGCCGGGCCTCGGGTCTGGCCCCTCCCAGGGATCTCAGCGCTATTGTGATCTGCACCTGACCGAAGACACTCAGGTCTCAAACTCTCCCGAGGGCTCGACATCACAAGTACTGCTACAGATCAACATAGCAAAACACTCCAAAGGAATACGTTTGATTTCTGCATTCTTCTTTCTTTCTTTTGATAGAAATAATCTATTTTATTTGTGTTCAGAGTTTTTTATGGTCCGTTGTTTTTTGTATGATTGTTTGGGGGGAAAAAAACGATTCCTACTGTAGACTATATATTTATGAGTTTGTAAATAGTAAAAATGGAGTTGTGGGTATTTTATGTGGAGACGCCTGGTTCTATTTACTGCGTATGAAAATCAAAGCTCAAGTCAAAGGCTACGTGTTAGCTCTACTTGCAGGCAGCTTTGTGGGGTACTGTATGATTTCACCTTGGTTTCGCCCCGTTTCGTTACCGAACCTCACACTTTGGTACCCGTGACGGCGACTTGGCAACTCCAGTTCACGTAGAACCTCAGCGTGATTAGAAATACTGCAGGTGTGGTTATCAGCGAAGGACGCGGCTCTTGTCACGGTGTGCAATTAGTTTCCTTCAGAAACTCGAATCAGTGGTGGACGGGTGTTTGAACTTTGGTTGCTGCATCTTAACCACAGAGGATTGCCTACTTTAAACGTGTGTTTTTTGTTTTTTATTCGACTCACCGCACACCTCGTAGGTTTAATGTAGTGTTTTTCCAGTGTGACAAAAGAACCGAAGTAATTCTATTTAACAGAGAAAGTATTTTTATTTACCGATATCTACTGACAATAAATTAGTACAAATTATATTGAAGTCCTGTGATGGAGTGAAGAGATGTCATTATTTATTGGCGTGTCAGTTCCTAATAACTTTCTAGGATGTTTCCTGGAAATAACTGTAATTTGTTGGGAAAAAATAGGAATTTAACGGAAAGAGTTTCTTCATTTAAAATAACATTTCTTTATTAATATTACCAGCAGCTGAACAGTTTCTGGACCTGAGATAGGTTCATCTCATCTAATTCTTCCAGAAAGAAAACACAAATATCTCACAGCCTTTCTTTTTTTTCTTCTTCTCTCATTCTCTAAGGAGGAGCTGTTGGTTACGCTAGCACATGACTGGACACCAATCAAACTCTCTATTTTAGCAATAATTACAACTAAATTATCTCCAGAGAACTCGTCAGACATCACAGACCTGTACAATATATCCAGATGAGATTTATGCCAGAAGGCTTTGACCTAAGAACGGTGAACAGATGAATCTAGTGTACAGACGGATCAGGACGGACGGCGGCGGGCTCAGGCCAGGTTAGCAGCAACACCAAAGCTACCACGTAAACTGTGTTCATGTGTTTATCGGGAGTGTTTCCATTGACTAAAATTGGAGTTGCCAAGTGTTAAATACTTTTACGTATTCTGATAGTTTTTAGTTGAATTTCTTTGTTGCCTCACAAACGTGTCACTCAAAGACAAGATCCTCACATGGGGAAGTGCCTTGACATTCAGTTTTATGACATCTTTCTCATGGGCAACAGCTGCTTTCAGACTCTTGCCATAAGGGTGGTACCTGGAGGCCAGTTTACTGGAAGTCGTCCCTCTCGTTGGCCAAATTATCTCGCGTGTTTTGTCTCGGTTCCTCGGTCGTGGCTACATCGGTGGCGCACGTCTTCATTGGCTGAGGACAGATGGGTGGATAGGGCTGGTTGATCTGAACTTCTTGCCAACCCGTGTGCTTCACGGTGGCACTCGTTCTTGTCTTAGAGTTAACTTTAACTTACTATGTGCAATTTGAGCTGATGGGCACACCGCGCAGATCGACCTCAGAACACAATCTAAGCCAATGGTTTGGAGTGATGCCTATAAATGTTGTTTCTTCTTCTGTTTACTATGAAATGTGTTATTTTGCGCTGAGTTTACTGAAGAATACATTTTTAAAAGAAATCAAATAATGTGAATGTTTACAGTATATGGTTTAGTTTCTTTTTTTGTTTGTTTTTTTCTGCTACTCTCCAAGAAAATAATGACTTGTGGGCATTTCGATTAAGATAAAATAAAGCACAATAATTTTACTGACTCTGGTTTCATTTGATCTCTAGAACATATGACTGAAGACTTCCTGGGAAACAACTTATTTACTGTCCTGATCCGCCCAAATCACTCCATCTACTGCTGAAGCATGTTCAGCAAATTAGCAGATAATTAGGAGGAAAAATCCCAATGATCATATAAATCTGACAGTTAACGCAGGACGATGTTCAGACAAACTGCAGTCATCAGATGAATCCTACAAAATAAAATAAACAACTTCATGTTTTGGATTACCGTGGCCTCACAGCTAGAAGGTCGTCGGTTGGCGTCCCGGTGAGGACTCCCGGGATCTTCCTGCGTGGAGTCTCCATGTTCTCCCCGTGCAGCGTGGGTTCTCTCCGGGTTCTCCGGCTTCCTCCCACAGTCCAGATACATGCTGAGGTTAATTGGTGATTGTAAATTGTCCGTAGGTGTGAATGTGAGTGTGCTTGGTTGTCTGTCTCTAAGTGTAGCCCTGTGATAGACTGGTTACCTGTCCAGGTGAACCTGCCTTCACCCTGAGTCAGCTGGGATAGGCTCCGCCCCCCATGACCCTCGTCACAAACAGCAAAGCGTGCCGTGTGCAGAAATGAAAACAGAAATGTCATCCACGCTTGTACTCGTCTGGATTCAGCAACACAGAAGAAATAAATCTTAGATCATGTAAATAAACCAGTGTGATGTAACTGTGTGTATTTATTCTCTGCACTCCACTTTATGCTTATTTATACTTCTACAGTTGAGAGAAAAACGTCCCCCTTTTACCCCACTGCAGTCATCAGACAGCTTTACTTCACAGATATGAATTATAACTTTAAAAAAACCAAACAGATAAAACAGTATTTTGTTTCCCCCAATTTCACTGTCCACCCAAAAAGCCCAACGTCGAGTTCATCTTTGTCACATTGCAGATGTTTGGAGCAACTCAACCAAAGATCGACGTCCAACAGCTTCAGGCCCAAAGAAAGAACTCGTGATCCAACTCTGAGCTGCAGCCGCTTCATCCCAGAGACGGACGAGCACGTAGAATCATCAGTAAAGTCCTCCACGTGTGTGAACTGCACCTGGAGAATCACCTGAAGGTGCTTCAGATTCATCGTCACCTTGGAGACCCCTGACCCCGACAAGCACCGGACGTCACCCCTAAAACTACCTGGAACGCTGCTCGGACATAAACGCATCAGCTGATTTATATTTTGTTAATAACGCCTCGATATTTTTAGCTAATGAGGGTTTTCTAACTGTAGAGCTTTTACTTGTGATGGAGCAGTTTCACGTTGTGGTGTACGGCTGAGCTGCAGCTCATCAAGAGTTTTTTTCAGGTGCAGAGCTCTCAGAGGTACGACTGTCCTGTGTTTCACGGTTAAAACACGGAAATAACAGGAAATTCAGAAGAAAAAATGTGTTCTTTCTGTCAAACTGGCCCAACAAGAGAAGAAAATCACAACGAAGAAGGTTCAACTAAACGACAGAAGCATGAACAGAGCAGAACATCTGCTATACCTGGTTTAACTGTCTGAGAAGACATGTGGATCACCAGATCTTCCTCAGTGATTAAACTGCCCTCGCGGTGGCAGGAAGGCAGCACAGCAGCTCCTCCACCGAGCGGCTGCACCTGGCGAGACACAATGCTGCATCTCTGCTGCTCCAACCAGCCACATTATTCTGTCCCTGCACGGATTAACATGCAAACATCAGGACGCACTTTGATGTGATGAATACTCCACCAATTACAGACGTGTACACACACAGACACACACAGACACACACACACACACACACAGACATAGACACACACACACACACAGACACACACACACAGACACACACCTACACACAGACACACACACACACACACACACACACACAGTGGCCCTCTCAGATCCCAGCAGCATAATGTTCAGGATTTGCATAAGCGCCCGTCACAAAAACACAGCCAATGAGAAGCGCTTGTTTTTAATCAAATGGATTACACTTTATTGGGAAATTAAATAAAACAACGCAATGTTGTGAGGGGAAAGCAAAACAACATTGTCCAAAGTGTTAAAACTACATATAAAAAATGCAGATAAAAGAGAATGAGACAAGATCGATCGTATATATCTGACAGTGAGAAACAACTAATAACAATAGTAAAAGATCTCGGGGGAGGGGGGGGCAGTGGGGACTGACGATGAGCTCAATCTATTAACAGGATATTTATTCAAACAGTAACCGCAGTGGCATCGTTGTATGGCGTGTCGTGTACCATGTACCACAGAAAGCTCCAATCTGCTGCAGATAGTTAGAACCTGGTCCAGGAGTTTTGCTACGTGCCGGAGTGCCGTGGACGCCGCCTGCAGATTCAGCAGAACTACAAAACACACAGAAAACGACACGTTAACACCTGGATACGGGAATATGTAGTCCAGCGGTGATGATCAGGTCGTTAGCAGGTAGCTGGAAAGTGTTCAGGCGTGTTTTGGTGCACAGAAACACCTCCAGACCGCAGACACACACCGATCCAGCTGCTCTGTGTGAACGACATCAGTGTGCATTTAAACCAGCGCGTTCTAGAGAGGCGGACACACGGCGAGCTAAGCATTTAATTACACTGAGAACTTGTTTATTGCTGCACATAACAACACAAAGCCTTTAAATCCTTTCATCCAGCGCAGCATAATCATATCAGATATGAGTGGAAGCCACACCGCTGCTGTGGAGCACATTAACGCAGGAATCAACTCGTGTGGAGGCTCATGAGGGACGCCGGCTGATGAGCTGCTGCTCGTCTAAACAGGACACGAGCCGGCCCGGTTTAAAGGCGCTCTCTCTCTCTCTCTCGTGAAATAAATTTTGTCCAAATGCTATTTTTACGTGCTAGATGAGCAAAACGACGCCGCGTCAACAGCAGCGTACCGACGACAGAAACACAGATTCAGACTTCTGGGGTTTCACAGTCACAAACCAAAGGATCCAGTTCTGTAAGTGTGCAGCAGGTGTGGCTGCAGAGCTCCAATAGCACAACATCCTACAGTGTTCACGCAGAGGCTGGAGGTGAGCTGGTGTGCTGAGCTGCACCAGTGACAGAGGGTAAGGAGAGACAGGCAGGGACTGTCTCAAAGGTTGAATTTATGACGGAGGAGGAATGTCCAGGAGTGCACAGGCCTTCTGGAAACATGTTAGGAGTATTTCCTTTGCCTTGAGCTACATTCTAAATCCAAAATGGCCGTAAAGCTCGCAATAAGTGAAGATAATCTCTAGATAACCTTTAATCATTTCTGTTTGGTCCACAACACGCGATTCATAGAATAAATTCTTGTCTCTACTGATTAGTCAAACACATGAAGGACGTGCAGCCTGAGTGAACACAGAGCAGAAGTTTGAAAACTACAGGCGGTGATGCAGCAGCGTGTAAACAGCACAAGTTAAAGTCTGATTGACGACTGGAGCAAACGGATTCAAACACAGAGTCAACAGAGCCACTCACCTTCCATCTATTTCCGCACTGGTTGCAGAAGACAAACGTGGTCATTGGCTCATCAGCACTGCGAGTTTGGACCTGAGAAGGACCAGAGAGGAACAAACCACTCAGAACAACATCATACTGTTTAAATACGTCATCATCTGTGAGTTCATTCAAATCATGAACCAATAACAGGAGAACATTCAGAGCGGCAGCATCGACGACGGCGTACGTGACACCTCAGACTGGTCGAACACATTCGATCAGCTCACTGACTCCAGACGTGTGGCGGCCTCTACCTGTGTGTAGGTGCAGCACTTCCCCTTGCATTTGCCACAGGTGAATAAATCAGTCTGAGTGCCTCCTGTGGTGGCCATCTGGTGGTCCCTGACAGCCTCTTTGGTCAAATTCTTTCTCATTTCCTTCAGCTCATCGCTGGCCATCTCCTACAGAGACGGAGCAACGACACCTTTAAGACATTCAAACACGTCTCCGCTTCGAACAAGAGAAAAATACACAATCAAGTTACAGCAACACGGAAGACGACACAAGGAAAGTCACGTGGAACCGGTTTGAAACGTAAATACTGCTCAGAGCGCCACCAGCGGCGAACACACCTCCGCCGTCATCTTCGCCATCCGCTCAGGGGTTACACTCCCGCAGAGCACCGTCCTCCTTAAGTTTGGGTTTTTCATATCCTTCAGGTTTGAGATCCGGCTCCTCACGCGGTTTTTGTATTTCATGTCTGTGTTCTTAAACTCCTGGAAGATGCGTGATAGCAGGTCAAGGAATTCAAGACTGTTATTGAACAAAAGGCAAGACCCTGAAGCTACAAACACAACTACAGCCTTCTATCTGCGCTGGTACATTTAGTGGACTGACTGATTAGTTGTTCAGTTTCAATAACTAATTAATCATTTGTCAAGTCATTTAGCGAGCACACCCACCTTTCTGTGTTTTTAGTTTCTCAAATTTCCTAAATCTTTTTATGTTTCATACTCTATAATAGTTTATAAGCAGTTTAGGATCCCAGATGAAGCACACAGCTTATTTGTATCAGCAGCTGTATAACGGAGGAGAGTCAGTAAAAACACACCAACAACAACATCTGCTTCGTCACCTTCACTGTCAAGGATATTTTCCTCAATCTGCGCTCCAAGTTCGTCACAATCAGCACCAATTGCAATATAATCATCTGAAAAGAAAAATATCAGAGGATGGACCAAACATGCTAAAAAAACAACAACAGCTGTGCAACGTTAAAGGAACGTTTTATGGGAGCAGCAGGTCACCTCCAGTCTGCAGAGCATTGGCCAGCATCTCTCTGCACTTGAGCCTGATAGAGTCCGAGGTGCTCGGGGCCCGAGGAAAAGTGTTGATTAACGTGTTGGGAGCAACTTCGGTGGGTTCGCTCTTACTGCTGGAATTACTGCTGGAGCTGCTGCAGCAGGAACGACAGGGACAGAATCACTTACTGGGGCCAAACACATCGCAAAACAAAACGCTAAAAGTGAAGACAAACATTCTATTTCTGCAATACTAGAAGCACAGAAAACACAACGAACGCTTTGACTCGTTACCTTTCTTCTTTCGCCTCTGGGCTTCCCTGTGAGGGAGAAACAACGGGTGTCGTCTGCTCTTTCCTCTTCTCGTCTGAAGGTTTATCTCCACCTCCAGGCTCATCTGGAGCGCAACACATAGAAATCATGCCAGCATGAAGGTCAAGCAAGTGAGAGCGATCCAAGTGACACTAACGTAAGTAAAGTCAACACTTCTGTAGGATCAGACGGCCAGAGCGCTGCACTACGACCACATAACCAGCCTCAAAGCTTTCTGTCAATGGGTTCTTATAACAGTGTTGTAGAGTGTTTTTTTAGACCATTAGCGGAGACAGAAGTGTCAGCAAAGACCTTTTCCAAAAGCTTGTGGTGGCAATTTTATGTGTGTCTTTATCTACAGCAAGCGACCACTGAACATGAGAACAGAGAGCAAGACGGTCACGACGGTCCAGGACTCGAACCAGCTCAAACCACAAACGTAGTAGGACTTTCACAAAAGCAAAAATACAGCAGCAAAATATCACTAAAGCAGAAGCAAAACCACCTCAAAAGCTGGGTCACATAACAAAAGTACTAATAAAGAACTTGTGGTGAAAATGGATGATACCTAAATATGACTTCTAGCATCCACGCGTTCATAAACCTCTTAATCTGACTAATGTTTACCATCTTCAGATACTTAGAAAAGCATCCTTACATGACATGATGGCTGTACGACACAAAGAGCAGCACATTTTAAAACCACAACAAACTGCAGTCTGTCCTCGCTGAAGCGTGCTACTGGTGGACTGTTCTCACTAATATCTTCACTGCTGGCTGCTGTTCAGCTGTTTGTGCTGCTGAACGGCACATTTACTCACAACTCTGTGGGTTGAGAACAGGTATCAGCAGTATTTTAAAAAAACAGAGCAACAGGACATGTTTGACAGCTGGTGTACCTGGAGCGCAACGTGTTACCATCAGAAGAATTGGCTTGATCTTCATAAATATCAGATACAGGAAAAAAAAAAGCCCTGACGTGCTTTGATACGATCATGCAGAACAGCTCGAGACATTCAAAAATCAAACAAGTTCATGCGCAGTTATCATCAAAGAAGAATAATTACCCAATAGCTTCTTCCACGACTTGATCAGGGACTTGGCTAAGGCTGTCACCTCCTCGTCTGTGCTCTGCTTGCGGATGGCATTTACAGACATGCCGATTCTGGTGGACTGTGGAAACACACAGGGTGTGTCAGAGCTTCAGGGTGTCAGCGTGGTCCAAGTCTACACTAAGGCCTGAGAACAAAGATACCTGAAGCAGCTCCAGGGTCATGGGGACGCTCCGCAGCTCCTTCAATAGGTCCAAAGCACCGGCCTGCAGAGGACAGGGGAGGGATGAAGGGACGTGGGTTCATTTTCACCCAACTTCTGCTTGAACTGATTAGACTGCTGCAGCATACGTAAGTGGACTCTGAGTGTCACGTTGTTATTGTAGAGATATTGCAACTGTGATTTGACTTTCAATACACACACACACACACATATACATATAATGGAGATTTAAAGACGTAGTGGAGCATCACTACATGAGACACCACCCAGCATGAATCTGTAAAACCACTGCTCTGACAGCTCTAAGCCTGGGTCAGATATGCTGCATAATGTATATTCTAAATTGCAGGCATTGCATGATGAAGTCTGTTCCTTGTTTAGCTCCATGAAGCACCGCCTCAGCATCACCAGGCTTCACACAAACACCACAGCACCTGAGTAAAGCTGTATTTGATCACAGCACATTTCAGATGCAGGTTAGCTGCATTTAGAAATAACCACACTATTAACTAATTATTAAGCTGGCAAAAAAATCTACAAGCATGAATGGAAAACTTGACAGATTGTGATTGCTCTAACTTGTGATCATTTTCTGCTTCTGTGTGTTTCATAATTTCATCTTTCAAATTTAGACTTTTAAATTTAAATAGGTCACTCTGGAGTTTATACCTCTGTAACAGCCTTGTCCCCATCACCCTTTGACATTACAAAGACCAGATGACTAATGGAGAGAACACTGGGCAGATAAACTGATGATGTGCTCAGTATGTAGCTTTACTGATGTGTTTCGGTACAGCACTGGTACAGTAACAGCAGCTAGGCGGCTAACAGTTGAGCGCCCAAAGCCAACTAAGCTAGCTCCTTAGCCGCTCCGAAAAGCCCCAAAACACAACTTAATCTTAAACGATAACATGATTATTTTTCTGAAATTCACCTCAGGCTTTGATATTTAGCCATTTACAGTGACCACGTCCAACACGATATTGCGTTGCAAGCAAAAAGATAGCAAGTGTTAGTGGGGATGCTAGGCGGCTAACTCCTAGCATCCCATACAACTACCCATAATATAAACAGACCTGCCAGGCGGCTAGCTGTTAGCAGCTAGCTAGTTAGTCACAACTGCAGGGACGAGGTTGCTGTTGGGGGTGAACGTGTAGTTAATGGCTGAAAACACACTCTGTGGGAATGACACACTGGTGCGGAAATCTGTTGACAGCGGGTGAACTGGGCTAGAGGCTGAATTAGCTCGCCGCTAACAACATCAGCCCGATCGGCTAACAGCAGACAGGTAGGCATTCATTCCCCTCCGACCGCTCACCCCGTTCTTCTTCTGCGCCATTTTATCCATCTTCTTCGCAATTCTGATGATCTCCTCTTCCTCTTTTTTGCCCATGCTGACCGATCTGGTGGAATCCGAAAAAAATAGAAGCAAAATAGAAAAGAAATTTGCGACAAAGACCACGCCACTGGAGTGAAAGCGGCGGCGGCGTCTACTTGGCGGACCGGGACCGCTGACCCTCCGCTGTGTAGCAGACCTGACTAGACGATGCACGATGGCTTCCAGGGGAGACAATCGAGACGGAGCCCGAGAGCCATTCTGGGAGCTTTTAGTTATTAAATCAGACTGAAGGACGCCTCATCCAGAATACCTAGTTATAGCTCTATTTTTTGTCTTACTTTGCCCAAACATCTGTCCTCCTGCGACCAAAACAAGTCAGCGTTTCCACCAGTATCGCTCCCTGTCGTTAGATAGCGCCAGAGGGCCGGTGGCCGGTGGCTGCTCTCCGGCTTTCACCAAAACACTCCTCCAGCTTTAAAACCGCTACGGTCCAGAGCTTGGGCTGTTCATTATTAATCAACAAGAACACAAAAAAAAGGAACATTTAAAAAATATAAATTATTTTAACAAAAAAACACCAACTTTAATGATTTGTAATAACTGCTTCAAAAACATACACTTAAAATACTTCTTTATCATTTTAAAACATCAACTGGGCCACTTTTTTCACTATTTTCTGATTATAGATCAATTATTTAATGAAGAAAAAAATGTAGTTCATCAGTACAAAGATAACAGTATATCTAAGCCCTAGGGTTGCAACGAGGTCCCTTTAGACCATTTAAACTTCCCAGTGTCCTCAAGTTATCACTGGATGTACCTGAGAGATCACAACTAGCATCCGCCTACAATTAAGTAGATAATGAAGCAAGAATATACATTAATGCTTTAAGAAATTACACATATTTTTTAGACATTGCCCTGTTCTTTAAATATATCTAATTACCCATGGGAGGTAATCAAGTAAAACATGCTGTGCAGAGTGGACGTATCCCACTGGTGACAAGACAGGGCTTCATTTTGAACCAAAGTTTGTACAACAGGGTTTAAGTTGTTGCTTGAACATGAATGTTGTCACCTTGGTAACGCTCACATGTTCCCTCCAAGAATAAGACAGATGTAAATATGTTGTGTGTCTTGTTCGGGGAGTCGTACGTGAAGGTTTGGCTGCTGAGCTGTTGGAGGATCCAGGACACGGTGGTGCTTCACCGTTGATCTGATGCTGCATTCATGTGGCACCAACTGACTTGGTAATTTGGATCTTGCTAATCCAAACAGATCCCCATGTGACATCACCACCGAGTGACTGAAGGCAATCGCTGCAAATGGTCTGAATAATATAACTGAGCAAAATAAATGCAAGATGCTTGTAATTACAGTATACAGCACTGTAGGAGGAAGCATTGAGGTCAGTCGTACTGACAGAGGTCACAGGAACACACAGGAAATAATATTCATGACACTTTCTTGTTGAGTAAATCACACTTTGAAGGAATTAATGCAAACAGCTGTTAACCTGCACTGGACTGTGTGTGACCTCCGCAGGGCCTCCTGCCATCCGCCCACCGCACTGCAAGCCAGCCTCTGTCTTCCAGGGCAGTGCACGTGTAAGTGGGCGGTATTAGCAGGTTTTACTCAGTCAGGGGCAGTTGGTAATTGGCACAGTGTCTGGTAACAGCAGCACAGTGACACAGCGCTCACCTCCTCATGCAATTATATCATTAGCCACTTTTTAAAGGGCCTAAATTCAAATCATGGTAAACACTTGTGGATGTACAGCGTCAGCCCTCCAGAAAGCTGCAGATTTCCCAGCATTACGGCTGCACTGATATCTGGTGAAATGCAGCAGAAAAGCTGACGTGCCCAAACACTGATGCAGAAATCTGTGGGTGGATTTTCAGTGCCTGCTGTGCGGTAAAAGTGCTCTTCAAAGATCTTATTCTGCCTCATGCTGTCAGCATGTGCGCAAAACCTTTAACCTAATCCCTATTAGGCCAAGACCTCTCCAATCTGATTATGCAGGCTGCTAACAAATTAGAAATAGTCCTAACCACCTGTGGAATCTGTGGGGAGCAGTGAAGATTCACTAATATCATTTGACCTGCAGAGTTAATATACCCTCATGAACTTTCACCAACCCCTTCCTCATTAAGTGCTCATTCTGGCCCCGTCTAAGCCTTTTACTGACTCACCCATTCACTCACTTTGTTGTCTGGCCTTTCAATCGTTTCAATTATCTTTTAATGCAAATAACAAAAGACACATTTGTGGTCCATAAAGTTCTCGGGAATTTGTGTTTCTTTAAAAGACAGGTTTGCTTCAGGATACAGAAGCAATACTGCAAATGTGGATGTTTTAAACAAATAAAATAATTGTCACACCAGAAAACAACAATGCTGAGAGTTTCTATGTGTATAAAAGTGTACGTTTCCAGTCTGCTGTGGTGGGATCTGCTTGTATTTCCACCTTTTTTTAACCTCATGTTGATGTGCTGATTAAGTGTGAGCAAAGATTAAGCAAATTGGCCAGGATGTTGCATGTCCTAAAATAGCCCTCAAACACCGCTGAGAGGCTTTGACCAGCGCTCGGAGGAGGACCGGACCAACACTTTCTGTTGTTTTTGCTGCTATAATTAAGGTGAAATGTGAGCTACACGGTAAGATATTTTTCTTTTTGTGTGTTGTCATGTCGCTGTGCCAGTCAGTTATGCTCTCTGCTGTCTACAGACCGTAATTTGTCTGATTAGTTTGTACGTCTGAGGTGTGGAAGGCCTGCGTCTGCAGCCATGTATTGTTCACAGTACTGCTGGTGGGACATTAGTTTAACTATGATGAGGCAGAAACAAACTGTTACTGTGGATTAATATAAAACACATGAGATGTCTAAGCAGCGAAACCTCTTCTCTTACATACGATGTCATTTTATCACGTGTTAACGAGGCTCTGTTCAGCCGTGTACTCAGACCTACACACATCATGCGACTATAGTACTTTTAATTATGCTAATATAAGCTTTAATATATAAATAAAGAACAGTTTCCAGTCCAGTACTTATTCTGATGCACTCAGAAGTCCTGTAATAACTGAATGAAGGTTTAACGTCAGTTTTTTGCTGAACCTGTCTAAGAGGCGTTGACTCAGCTGAGTGATTATTTCCAGGCTGTAGGTTGCGGTGCTGTTGAACCGTCGTGCAGCGTTTCTGTTTTCATGTCCGCCCCGTTCACATGAAGGATGGTAGGCTCAGTAACAGAAACAACACTTTGTATGATGTAACACAGCAAAACACTGTGTTGTTCACATGATTTCACTGAGACACAGTAAATACGAGTCAAAGCCTCAATTTTTAAGATGAGAAAAAAAACTAATGTCCATCGTTACAAACTTCGCATTTCAGTGATTTTTCTATAAAATAATCACCAAGACAATTAATAAAACATGTGCCAATAGAATAAAACGTGTGATAATCTTTAATGATGGTGTGGCACCAGTTCATTAGATTCATAGATAGCTTTATTTTTCAGTAACCGGTATGCCGGTGCCAACAGTTACAGCATAGGGCTCACTTTTGGGAGAGAATCAAATCAAATCCAGTTTGTGGTCATGTTGCTGTATAATACAGGCCAAATGAGAGCGTTTCTTCAGGATCCAATAACTTAAAACAATTTAAATAAAGAAGCGTCTGCAGATCTGGATCAGCAGTTCAGTGTGTGTAGTCTGTGAGTATTTACGACGTTTTTACAGAAGAAGTGTCACATGTGAAGGGTGACATGCCGAGTCGCCACATTTTAAAGCAAAAACACATAAACTGTTGTTTTAAATGGAGACATGACCGACACAATCGGTGATCCTTTTCACAAACAGTTTTACTGCTCTAACGAAGATTATGGGCTTTTAGATTTCACTTCGTCACAGGCAGACACATGCCGGCTTCATCTAAACACAGACGAAAAGCTGAAATAAAGTGAGACACCTGAAGTCAAATCTGTACACTACAGGGGAAGGAGAATAGATTATTTTTTTGGGCTTTTTGCCTTTATTTAGAGCAGTAGAGAAAGACAGGAATGGGGAGAGACCTGCAGCAAAGCGGGAGTCGAACCCACGACCGCTGCGTCGGGGAACTAACCCTAACCATAACCCCAACTAAAGCTAACTACAGCTAGCTACAGCTCCTGCTCATGGGTTACCTGCTCAACTAGATGAGCCATAGGAGCTCCCCAGGAAAACTGACTTTCATACAAATCTGTCTGTAAAAGTGACACTCCAGCTCAAATGTGTCATCTGAGGACCTGTCTCCGTCTTTCCAGCCACCTCCACTCAGCATGAGCACCACGCCCGTCCAGGAGGCCCCTGCTCAGGGACTGTCCTCCAGCAGTGGCCAGACGCTGCCCTCCCGACCTCTGCAGCCCCTCTCTGACCCCTCAGCTTCCAAAAGAGTCTGTTTCTACAAAAGCGGCGACTACAAATTCAGCGGGCATCGCATGGTCATCAACGCCCGCACCTTCAAGACGTTTGACGCTCTGCTGGATGCTCTGTCCAAGAAAGTGCCTCTGCCGTTCGGCGTCAGGACCATCACCACGCCCCGAGGGACTCACCTGGTCAGGGCTCTGGATGACCTGCATGACGGGGGCGCTTATGTGTGTTCTGATCAGAAACGGGTGAAGCCACTGAACCTGGACGAGGTGAACCGCCGGCAGGTACCGTGGAACACCACCAGACCTCTGAGCGCGGGGCGACGGCGCCGTCAAGGACTCAGATCGGGCCAGTTAGGCAGAGCGAACGAAGCCTCCGGCAGGCCAGCCAGGGTCACGGAGAGGGTGGCAGTACGGACGCCCAAGAGGCTCACGGTCATCAAGAACAAGGACCCCAGTGTTAAACGCACCATTGTGTTGCAGAGGAGAACGGCGCCCACGTTTGATGCTCTGCTGGATTACCTGTCCCAGATCCTGCAGTTCCCGGTGCTGAAGCTCTACTCTACAGACGGCAGACGAGTAAGTTGGCGGGAAACAAAGTAAAATGAGGATTGATGGTGACTCACTGGTTCTGTCTGGGAAATAAAGTTGTTTTTGTTTTTTAATATTCAAATATGTGGCAGAGATTTTTGGAAAGTGCACTTATTTGCTTCTTCCAATGAGAGAGAAATAACACTCTCATATCTGTCTGGTGAACATTGTGACGAGCCTGTTAGCTTAGCATACAGACGAGAGACAAGCAGCCAACTGAGGGTACAAATAATAACACTTTGTTTTATTTGGTTAGGCTGAGAAACACAAGATGTTCATTAGTTACCTTTAAAAGTGACTTTAGATGAATATTGTTGGCTTTAGACAGAACCAGCCTTTATGCTAAGCTAAGCTAACTGGCTGCTGTCTCCAGCTCCATGTAGAATGTCCAGAGATAGCAGCCAGTTAGCTTAGCTTAGCATAAAGGCTGGAAAGAGTTAGCCTGGCTCTGTCTAAGGCCTACAACATCCTTTAAAAGGGACTTTGGACGAATATTGTTGGCTTTAGACAGAACCAGCCTTTATGCTAAGCTAAGCTAACTGGCTGCTATCTCCAGCTCCGTGTACAGAGATGAGATTTCACTGTGACTTGAAAGCAAATCAGTGTATTCCCTCATATTCACAGTGGAGTGGACGTTAGTGTTTTAAATCTACTCAATAAGACCAGACCGAGCCTGAAGCTGTTTCTCATAGCAAC